ACATACTTGTCGACGGCCTGTGACAATGTTATATCATCGAGATCGCCGAAAACATGTTTCTAAAGTCTTTCCATACGTTGTCCAGCTCCAACATCTCTGACACTCGTAATGTATCCTTCGGACTAGTATGACATATATCCGATACATTACTCCTGCCCATTATGTATCTATTACAAACCCGTACTTTTTGTTGTGCCCGCTAAAATAGAGGAAAGACTGCATGAGCTGTCAAGTTTGACAGTCCCACGTACACGTCGGTAGGGGCGGAGCTAACAAGAATGTTGGTTTGCTACAAATATTCCACGGTAACTTCAAAGGAAAAATTGGGGCCGTGCACCTGACTATGGTACAATGTACAAATAGTAAGTCACAATATTTGTCCTGTCTGACTGAAGACAGATAAAGTCAAAACACAAGAAGATCATGGACACGACAAATTCTTCTTCATCAGCCACTTAACTCTATCTTTTCCTACAACGAAACCAACATGGCTAGCTTTTAACGGTGCGTGATTATTTCAATATCCCTATCGTAATTTTTTCCATTTCTGGATAACAGTATTACTGCAACCCCAACCTGTGGTGTTTACATGTCGCACTGGAATCGATATTCAAGGGTCTGTTCCCATTTTCACTTAACAAATGGTTTCAAAAAATGCAGTTGATGAAAATTATAGAGAAGTTTTACTTGCAACATAGTTATCTCAGTGCGAAATATTTTATTTGTGAGGTAAGGCTTATTTGATGCTCGTTAGTTTGCCTGTTGGTTCCTTTGTTGTACGCCTCTTTTGAAAACGTGACATTACCTACGTGGATTGACCACGATTTACATGGCGGGTGTCGTCGATGAAGCCAAAAAACTCTTACTCTTCCGGAACGCATTGGATTATTCCCTTTATACTTTTTTGGGAGTCTCTGTATGAATCATTCTTTTGTTCATATTTTGCCTTTGTTTTATATACTTTCAGTGTGGGTTATGATTAGTTGACATGTTGGTATTTTCTTCTTTTTTATTGCAAGGTGTTACGGTATCCACGTGTGTCTCTTTTCTACGATCATTTATGATAAGTGTCGCGGGTGATTAAACCTAGGAGACGAGTATGAAAACTGGTCAAAAAATTGTCAAAATATAGATTTTACAGGCGCATTTGTCTCATAATTCATTAAACTTTATAATTTTGAACAGATGTACATCGTACGTGTTTATCTTCAGAAACGTGGTGATTTACTGAAAAGTTCATTAAGTTTAGACAAGATCACCTAGCAAAGTACTACTTTCCTCTATTAGACTTTGCTCATTGAACTAATCTTCGAAGCAAGTCTGTCAGAAAGTAGAGAAAACTACGGCAGGCAATCGAGTCCAAAATAAAATTATGTATGGTTCTGAGAGGCGAATCGAAAATAGCACATTCTTTATAATATATCTCTTTTGTCTGACGAAATCACAGAATGGGCGATGCAGGCTCAAAGGAGGGTGTCGAACTTCTTTCAATGTCATAAAAATATGTGTAAATCTATCATTTCTTCCAACTATCCAAGAAGCCTGGGGTCATGGTATTTGTCAATCAACATGTTTGAAAGGGAACATATTGCTTGTGATTGCATTGAGTGAACCTTTACCGCAAGTTAGCAGCAAGACCAGTCGTTTTGTTTTATCGCCTGTTTTATACGACAGGATTGTACGATCTGCCGGAGGAATTATGTACACTGTTCGTTAGGTAAGTACAAGCTACAGTAAGTTCGTTTGTTTAATTTCAAGAAACAACTGCAGAAGATATATTACATTAGTTTATTTCACGAATTCACAGAGCCCCGTTAGCGTCACTAATGTTAATGGTGACCTGTAAGTAATAGAAACAAGAACACAATTAGCTTGTTGCCAATCTAGTCTCCCAGAATTACTTCCCCTCCTCCCAACTTGTCAATGGGGGCCCGAGAATGATTGTTGTAGATAATCTATCAAATTAAATCGAATTAGAAAATGACAGGAAATTAAGACTAGTCTAATTCAATTTCAGTTAAACAAGTAAAAACATATCTCCAACTTTATCTTATATATATTTTTCACTCCTGAAATCAATGTACGAAATTGACATTGTAACCTATTTAGGGTTGCCTATATGTATCATTCACTAATTTGTAGTATACGTACAATGGCAGTGGCCGTGAAAGCATTCTGCTACAAATCCGTCTGTACACACACAGGGCTTGTCATCTGAACACGTGCGGTCAGTGACACAGTGACAAAAGGAGTCTACACACTGATTTTCCGTGTGCAAATGACCGTGGTCGTGACAGGGTGCAGTACAATTAGCGTCGTCTGTGCACGCTACATGCTCAGTAATGGCGGTGTAAACTGATGAGATTGAAAATAGAACATATGTAAATACATAATATATATCATCTTACAATATAGACCACTGTTTTAGTCATCTTCCTTGCCTTGATCATTGATTTATAATAGCTATTGCGCTTACGTTTTGAAATTGGATAATTCTCTCGTAACCTGTGACTGTCGTATAGCATCATAATGTTAAATAAACAACACAGCTCATAGAATAGGTCCGATTACAAAAACACTAATTGTACATTATTCATCACAACATATTTGCAGATAGGTAACAAAGTAGATGAATCTCATACTTAACGCTTATAATGATGTAGATTTTTAAGGAGCAATACTTACAGGTAGCTATGAAAACAAGGCCAATGGCAAAGATGATGGAGCCCTTCATGGTGTGCTGGTTCCTATAGAGCTGCAACGGGTCTGTTCTGATAAGGAATCGGTCTCCTTTTAACTGTATTTGATGTTACGTTATCTGTTATCAACAAACATTCGGCGTGATGGCTGTGTGTATTTATATACCTGCTTCATGATTACTTTGCCCTTCATACATTGCGAACATAAGGCCTTGGCCCATATTTTCATATCACGATCATAATCAATATCATTTACAGTTTTGTCTCTGTCGTTATATTTGTTCAAATTTATACACACCTTAATCGCAATAACAGTATCAAAAGTTGGAAAACGTTTTTTGATGTTAATTAATGTCCCTATGACATCATTTAAAGTTTAATTGTCGTAAAAGTTTGATGGTTTAAGTAAGTCAGAGAAGTATAGTATACGTCTTGGAATGAAGAAGTATGTAAATCATACAGTAAGACATTTGACATTCTTTAGTTATTAAATGTCTTTTTATCGACATTCGGATGATGATGTGGTTTGTCACTCTATCACCATCGGATCGGAACCATTTTGTTTTAATTCATTACATGTATATGTATTGGTACCCAATGAATCCGGCAGCTGTTTCGTCCTATGAGAAATTAGCGGTGAAGGGCCTAAATGGTTGAAAAGACGCTGAGAAAATCCAAACTGGTCGAAATAAATATCAAAACCCAGATGGGTATGTGCATTGCGATACCTAAACAGCACCAACGTGTGTTTCTGGTACAATAACCCGAAAAGTTTTAGTGTGGGGCGTATATAAATATAGTTACAAATGAACACGATAGCTTCAAAATCTCATCATATTTCAGCTTTTTCGTGAAAACATTACTACGTAATTTGTTATTTTAAACATGAATACCTCTAGATAGATTGGTTTTATTAATTGCATTGAATTTTAAGTGAAACTGTGTTCCATGTATGCAAATGAGTGTACGCCCACACGACTTTATGGAACCCATATAAGAAATATACGTGTCTCTGCTACAAAAGCAGGCCTTCAAACGCCACGATGTCCTTTAAGAAGTAGTCTTGATAGTCACCTGAGATAAGCAATATTGAATATTAAGGTTAAAAGAAGTTATCAGGTGTCATGAAACAGAAATCGAAACACAAAATATAGCAAGCCAGCGTCAATACGTGCTGACCTTCAAAACAGTCATCTCATACTAATAATTCTTACACAGTTATTTCCAGTGGGAAATAAGCAAAGTTGTGCTCAAAATTCTATTTTTCTTTGAAAATTACAGTAAAGTCTTAAAAATCTTCCTTTCCAGAAAGAAATGTGAGATTCAATTTGATAATTAAAGCAACCTAATATGCTTTCATCAATGAAGAGGATTCGATTCTACCATATCTTAATGTTAAGAAGAAGAGTTTTTAAATTGAAGTCAATTTACCCCTTTTTCGGCCCGCCTATCCGGCCCTGGGGACAGTCAGGATCAATGTTTCCAATGAAAATTAAATAAATGAAGCTCGGAAATCTAGTTTTCTTAAATAACTATAATAGTATGTTGTACCCACTCCCTACGGGGAAATGTGAGATCCTGTGGCCATGAAAAGCACAATTTTGGAAAAAGTACCTTAAGATGCTTCCATTCGTGAAGAGTATTTGATTTTACCAAATCTGGGTATCCGAGACAAGTTGACCTAATTTAGCCCCGACCTTCAGGCCCCTGTAGGGTGGGGATTGCATAATTAAAATTGTTGGTTCATCTTAGGCCAGAGAAAGTTTCTGCAAAATTTCATTGAAATCAGATCAGGGGTTTTTGAGAAGAAGTCGAAAATGTAAAATTGTTTACGGACGCACGATACACGACGCCGGATGAAGGTGGTTGTAATAAAAAGTAAGATACAGAAGAACCAAATAATGAATTAAACTGCACCTCACAATAGTTTCACCCTCATTCCTCTCGTCAGTGATAATAAGAGGCTGAAAATTTAAAGCCCAAGAGACGACTAAAACAAATCCAAAGTGATCGAAAGATACTAGACAATTGCCCCTCGTGTTACGCTTCCAGTGTAATAATAAGTTTAAGAGCCTCTGAGGGATCACCACCTTATCGTGGTGGGGCAGTTTGCTCCTGGTAGGGCCGGTCGAGGGGTAGGGGCCAGACGAAATGTGATCCCCTGGTCCTCCAGGTTGGGGTTGGGCAGAGGGATAATAACCATCTCCATTAAAAAATATACGTATTACAGAAACCGAAAGCAGAACAAATCCATAAAATTCAGGGAATGATACGGCCTTGCCTTCGATCAGAGGAGACTCCATGACGCAAGAGGGCGAAAGCCAAGAGGAAACCCTCGAGCAGACCAGGCCATTAATACACCCCAAATCTACAACGAAGATAGGCAACTGGAACGTACGTACACTTTACCAAAGTGGCAATGTAGCACAGGTTGCAAGAGAAATGACAAGAAGAGATACAGATATCATGGGCATTAGTGAAACTCATTGGACCGGACGATGGAAAATCCAGATAGCAGAAGGAGAGGCAATCATCTACTCCGGAAGGGACGATAACATCCACAGAGAAGGTGTTGCCATACTTATGTCAAAGAAAGCATCAACTGCGCTGATAGATTGGACACCAGTAAACGAAAGGATCATCCTAGCAAGATTTTTCTCAGAGCACATCAAGCTGACGGTTGTGCAAGATCAAGTGAAAGATGAGTTTTATGCAAGATTACAGGAGGTACAGGAAAGAAGAAACCGGCATGACATGTTGATCATCACTGGTGATATGAATACCAAAGTGGGAAGCGACAACGAGCACTACGAAAGAATCATGGGAAGACATGGACTCGGGGTGAGGAACGACAATGGTGAAAGGCTGTGTGAAATTTGCGACCTCAACGAATTAGTTATTACAGGAACCTTATTCCCACATAAAAACATCCACAAGGAAACATGGATCTCACCAAATAGAACCACCAATAATCAGATAGATCATGTGTTAGTCAACAGGCATTTTAGGAATTCAGTTAAGGATACTAGAGTATTCAGATCAGCAGACATCGGGAGAGATTATCTGCTTGTGTGCACAACAGTCAAACTGAGGCTAAGGAAGCAATGTAAAGAGAAAAGGTGTGAGAGGGTAAAGTACGACATAGAGAAGTTGAAGGATGCGGATACAGTGAGAAGGTTTAACATTGCAGTAAGAAATATGTTTCAGGTATTGGATAACGAGGACTTTGATAGAAAGAGGACGAGGTATAGAGAAAGTTCAGTGTAATCCAGAAGACATACACAGAGACAGCAAAAGAGATATTGGGTAGACCTAGGAAGAAGAAGAAACCATGGATCAGTGACGCCTCATGGAAGCTAGCAGTTGAAAGAGGAGAAATAAACAAGAAAAAGTTGTATACACTCTCAGAGAGGGTTAAAGGACAGTTAAAAGAGCAGTACAAGGTTAAAGAAAGAGAAGTCAAAAGAAGTCTGAAAGCAGACAAGAAGAAATGGATAGAAAACATCGCGAGTGACGCTGAAGAGGTAGCAATGAGTCAGCACATTAAAACTTTGTATAGTCTTACAAAGACACTCTGCAATGAAAGACCTAGGAGAAGTACAGCGGTATTGGACAAGAACGGCAACCTCATTGGTGGCAAAGCAGAGGTGTTATCAAGATGGACAGAACACTTCCAGGAAATTCTGAACAGAGAAGAACCACAGGATCCCATTACAGAAGATCATGAAGTAGAATTAGATGATATATTTGAAGAAATTTCAGTCGACATGCCATCAATAGAAGAAGTGCAGATGGCTATCAAGAAGTTGAGGAATGGAAAGTCACCAGGAATAGATTCAATCACGGCAGAGTTGATAAAGGCAGATACAAACTTTTCAAGTACAAAAATCCATGAGCTAATGGAAGCAATATGGAGAGAAGAATAAATTCCAGATAGTTGGAAAAAAGGGCTCATCATCAAGTTACCAAAAAAGGGAAACCTAAAGGAATGCAAGAACTCAAGAGGAATCACTTTGCTGTCAGTAGTAGGAAAGTTGCTCGGAAGAATCATCATCGATCGCATAAGAGAAGGAATCGATAGCAGGCTAAGGAAAGAACAGGCAGGATATAGAAAGGGAAGGAGCACGACGGAGCAGGTCTTTATACTTAGGAACATCACAGAGTAAGCAAACGAGTGGCAGGCTACATTGTATTTGAACTTTATAGATTTTGAAAAAGCTTTCGACTCCATCCAACGTGAAAGCCAGTGGACCATCATGAGGAAATATGGGGTACCAGACAAGATCGTAAGAATGGTACAGTTATTTTATGAAGATTTCCAGTGTGCAATAGAAGACCAAGGAGAGACAGGAGAATGGTTTAACATCAAGACATGAGTAAAACAAGGGTGCAATATGTCCAGATTTATCTTCTTGGTCATTATGGACTGGGTGATGAGGAAAGCAGTTGGAAACGGTGAGAACGGCATTAGACGGAGCTTGACAACAAAAATGGAGGATTTAGATTTCGCAGATGACATCTCCTTATTCTCCTCATCTAGACAACAGATACAAGACAAAACCACAAGACCTGATAAAGAAGCAAGCAGAGTCGGACTTAAGATCAACAAAGATAAAACTAAAGTGATGAGAATCAATGCACGGAACGAGAGTACCATCAAACTAAGAGGTATGGACATCTACGATGTAGAGCAGTTCACATACCTAGGAGTAAAAGTGTGCAAAGAGGGTGGTGGAATGAAAGACATTAAGAACAGACTTTCAAAAGCCAGGGGAGCATTTATCCGGCTCAAGCATGTATGGAGCTCAAGCAACATCCCGAGGAAAACAAAATTGAAACTGTACAAGGCATTAGTAATACCTGTCCTACTATATGGATGTGAAACGTGGAAAATGAATATGGGTGATGATTGGTTGATAGATGTTTTCCGCAACAAGTGCCCGAGGAGAATTCTCAGCATACAATGGCAAGAACACATAAAGACGAAAGAAATATTGAAAAGAGCGAGCATGAGGCCAGGAGCTAAAATGCCGCAGATGGAAAATGATTGGACACATATTGAGACAGGACAGAAATAACGACTGCAACGTTGCCTTAACCTGTGCCCCAGAAGGGAAGCGGAAAAGAGGAAGACCGACGATGACGTAGAGAAGAACAGTGGAAAGGGAGAGAAGAAGCAAGCTGGAAATCCTGGAACGAGGTGCGGACAGTGGCAACAGACCGGCAGAGATGGAAGCCTTCTGTGAAGGCCTTATGTGCCACGAGGCACGAAGTGGATAGGTAATAGGTAATTTCCTTTTTGAAAAAAAAAGACATTTCAAACTTTACACTTAATGTAGATGAAATCAATAACGTAACGATAGCACAGTGGTGAGATCCCTGCTATCGGTTCTTGGACCGAGTGCTCCTGCTGTTTTTTTCTCTCTGTAATTGAAGGTATTTTTCCAGTTGTTTCGAAAGGAAACATTTAGATATGAAACAATTAAATCGTTTTGAGATGTGATATAAAATGTCAACATCAATCTAATAATTCTTACATAGTCTCCAATCACAAAAAAAAATCTGTGCTCTCTCTCTCTCTCTCTCTCTCTCTCTCTCTCTCTCTCTCTCTCTCTCTCTCTCTCTCTCTCTATATATGAAAATAGTGATGTAAGGGTTCATCCTTAAAATCCTCAAATATATGATGGCAGCTTATCAATATATGTATTTCTACGGGATACCATGCGTTACGTCCCCTTAGTGTTTACCGATTCCTAGGCACGACAGCCCACAGGAAGAATGGGTCCAGTCCGTGGAATATAATAACAATAATAATTAATATCATTGAAATGCATGTAGTATTAACCTACATTGTACATTTCTATCACGTGGCTGGCATGTGACATAGACAATCTCTATATAGCATTATACTGATAAAACATTAAGGAACGAATATCTACAAGGAAATATATACGATGTACAATTCACCATGTTACACGTATCATAGAAGGATTTTTTCCTGCTTCCTGATTGTTTCAGATGCTAGAATATGCAGGTTTTTATCTATTTTGATATCTGATTATTATGATTTTCTAGAAACGTGCTAATTATAACGTATAAATTGATATTTTCTGTACGACCATTGCATTATGGAATATATTGAATTAAAATACTGTATCAATTAGAGCTAATGACCGTTGTTTACACTACCTTTATCCAGTATACGTCCCTGCTTTATCCAAACGTTCATAATTAATCTTTTCAAACTGATAAACAGTACAGTAGAAATCTCGCTTTTTACCAAATACTTTCTGTTTACTATAGATTAGTTTTTAAAAACAAAACGCATGTTTGATTTATTCACCACTTAAATATCATCCAATATTGGAGAAAGTCATTTGGAAATCCGTTGCATTAAAATCTCCAAAATTTCTGTTTGACCAATGTAATTTATATTATTCGTCACTTTCATCTACTGGTATTTTTTTTAACGAAAGTGAGATTCCCTTTTTCACTGTTCGTCAAATTGGCTCTGGCCGGTCACTGCGAAGACAACATATATTTTGAGGTGAACGGTTTTCACGGCTCAATGAACAAACACAAGAGTGAACACCAGAAAAGCAGACACTGCCTCCTGTGATAGGTTCCCGGGCAAAATGCATGTTTAATGTTTGATTGGGAAGAAAAGGGTACCGCTTGATTAAAAAAAGGGCCTGCCGCCGAGGTGTGTTACGCCTTGGGGCGTATAGCAATTAGTACTTATGTCTAGGACACAGGTAAAATCCATGGTGATGGGCCAAGTGGCACATGGACCGTTTTAGGGTGGTGAAGACAAAACGGCTGAAATGGGAGCTGTGCACATATAATGGCAATATTGTGAGAAAATAATCATTCTTTCAGAGGAGTGAGACAAGGCACGCGTTCATGGGAGGGGGGTAGAAATAGCCACGGTATATAATGAATTTAGAAGAATTTACTGAAATTACTCGGTATCTCCCTACATGTTTGTGTGTTCACTTGACTCAGAGACATATATAACACACATACATATATGTGTGATATATACGTCTCTGCTTGACTGTACGTTCATTAAAGTGGGATATGAAATAAATTTCAAATGCGAATATATTTGTCATTATAGCCATTACCTAAGGCAGAGACGTCTCTGCCTAAGGTTAACTGACTCGAGAAAAACAAAAGCGAAAATGTTTAATGTACTATGTATAGCTAATAATTATTTTAATAGACATCGACTTACAGCAACATTTTAAATAAATTGGTCAATTTCACAAAAAAATGGTATTTTTTCACAAAATGGTGAAATATATTCTCTTACTGTTGTATCTTGATGCACATTGCGAAAAAAAAAGAAGAAAAAATAACTAAAGTAATTAATCTTCTACAGATGTTCTGAGTGTGGTTCTGTGATAACGTATTTAGAAATAGTTATTTATGCAAATGACTCATTATTGAAATTCTGTAAAATGTACCTATACAATCGCAAGCATGGAATCCTAACTGGGTCGTCACGCCACATAACCTGAACAATTCAATGTTCCATTTCGCTTGAAGCGTGTGAATGTTCTACGTTTTCGAAGGTAACATCCGGTTACGATTAACGTTGACGGTGGGCTACCATTCGGGACTAGGGCACAAGGAAAGAGATTTGTTAGTGACTGTCACTTCCAAAGAAAATGAAGGTATGTAAAAGGTTGAAACGATACTTCTTTAACAAACTGACTTAGACATGATGTTTTTTTATCCTTTCTGTTATTATCTGGAAGACGGTATCCAGGAACCGTCCTTGGCAGGATACATCCTGGTCCATTGGTTTTGAAGTCTAATTACTGCAGATATGTTTTGAAGGACAGAACGATACACATAGATTCCTCAGAACTACATAAAACATCCCAAAACTACTTCCAAACACCTAGAAACGGGAAAACAACATAAACGTTGCTCATATGGTACAAGAAAGACGGAACGATTTACACAAAACACCCAGAATTATCCCGAAAAAACCCAAAATACCCAATTACTACACTTAAACTCTCGAAACTAGTATATGATAACCGAAACAATACACAGAAGACGGAAAAACAATAATGTATTGTTTTCATATGGTAAGAAGACCTACTATTTTAAAATCACGGCTTCCGATATTGTTTTGGAAGGGAGATAACCCCTACAAAATTACATTTATTCAATTAATAATGTCTTTAAAATTAATTAACTAATAAAATATTCACGCTAAATTATTTTGCTTGTTGGATGTTTAATTTTGCTTGAAACTTTCAAACCTACAAGCAAATTATTGCTCATACGTTCAAAACTTAAGTTCAAGCCTTGCCAAGTGTCTTATACATTTTTTTTTATCTCTGTCATTTACTTTGGGCAGGTTTTTGACCGCAAGTCTGTTTATGTTATGATGTAAAATTTACATTTTCTGTGTGTATTCTCTGTTTTGCATTGCCAAAAAATGAATTCTTACTCTTTGGTTACTGTCAAGTCTGACAACCTTTCCCACCAAATTGGAATCAGCTGTTTGGATAAGATTATTATTTTTCTATGTAAGTAGTGTTAATTTCTTCAATAAAAAATCTTCTTTTAAAAAGGCATAATATATACTGTAATAATAATGATGAGTGAAAGGTAAGACAAAAAATCAAGGTCAATCACATCATGTTTTGACAAAAGTATGTAGTGTGGCCATTATTTAACACTAATGTTCTGCATCCAAAAAATCCATTATTAGGTATTGAAATTAATGTGTGTGGAGTACCCCAATGTAGCTAGATAAGGGTCACCATTCTGCAATATTGATAACAATGGTTCTCTTTCATGTTTAAACGTATGTTTGATTTTATTTGACCATTTCAAATCTAAAATGCTGTATTATGCAGGAACATTATCAATGTGCATGGAATTAAGCATCTATAGCATTTATAAACATGAATATTTTTCTTGTTACAGAAAAAAATACACTTGGCACTTTGCTGTACAGCTGTCATCCTGGTGATTATCACTTGTGTTGGAGGTAAGGGTGATAAGACAGCCTTCATGTCAGTGTTAATGAAATCAAATAAGAAAAATTCAAATTTCCTATGGTTGTGGTTTATCTGTCCATCTGTAAACTACATTCTGTATTTTTCTTATTGCTATTTCTTGAAAAGAACTAGATGAATCTCTCTTTAGTTTCCTATGTTCTTTCCCCTTGGTTTCTTGTTGTGCCTCTTTGATTTTGAGAATGATCAGAGAAAGAAAAGGCTGACAGGCAGCCATTTTGGATTTTTACAATGAAAGTTTGTTATCACTATTTCTTGAGAAGTACTGGATGGATTTTTCTCAAATTTTATTTGTCAGTTTCTCTTGATCCCTAGTTGTGGCCATTTAATTTTGCGACTGATTAGAAAAACAAAATTGGCTGATAGGCGACCATTTTAGATTTTGCAATTAAAGATTAATGTCGTTATGTTGTAATGAAATTTTTCAATTTTATATCATTAAAAGTAAAAACAAAGAAGAGAAGAGGAAAGAGATTAAAAAATCCTACTTAAAAAATCCAAATAAACATCAAGCATTGCTGGGTGCGAAGATCCCTCTGGGATATCTTAGGTTCCTGTTCTTTGTTAATCAGGGATTTGTTGGAGTCAATTTTGGATTATTGTTCCGATGACCTTTGGTAATTAACAATGTCAGCTGTTGTTGTCCAATCGGATTATTTCTTACTCCGATATTTTGAACATCAACAATTTTAGATTAGCGACTGAGAAGTCATGCTTCAGTAATTGTTTGACAAAAGACCATGGTAGGGATGTCGGGATGATAATAGCTAGGTCTTGGTGAAACAGACTCTTTTAAAGTGAAGCCTTATAATTGGCTTTGTGCATAGACCTCATTATGAACAAATAGGAAGAATTACATGAAGACCTCAAAAAAGTACAAGGAGTAATAGATCAGGTGTTTAAGCTTCATCTGCTTTATCTACAGCATGTGCAATGTAAATTTTAGCTAATTCAGAAAGAAAGTAATGTCATGTTTCCAAATGAGAACAATGTAATACAAGGAAATGTCTATAGTTACTTGGTGTATTAAGGATAACAATGTTTATAGGTGGATAGGTAAATCTGTAACAACATATGTTATATAGTAAAATCCCATCCACTTCATCCAAAACTCTGAATCTTAGTGGATGGCCATGCTCACTTCTGCTTCACTGACACATGAAATATCCTCTCTAGGAAAGATTTGTGTTTTAACCAGGTGCTCCAAGGGAAAAGCGTGATCTGCTGCAGCTGGTGGAACTACTTGAAGAGATGACCAATAAGAGTGGGTTAGACTTCAATAACTATGGTTGTTACTGTGGCTGGGGAGGTAAAGGTGCCCCTGTGGATGCTGTTGATAGGTACAAACTTATATATATATATATGTACAAATTTTGTTGAGAAAATGCTTATTTAATTACTGTTATAATTAAACTTTATGGCGTATCACAGATTTTGATTTAGGAATCAACATGTTTCATGCAACCCATTCAGCTGCCTTGGATTTATCAGTTAGACAATATTTTAACCTATATCAGAAGCAGGGACTTACATCATATGGTTGTATAAGATGTAATAGTTATTAGCCTAACTTCACTTGTATCAGAAGAGGAATTTAGATCTAACCATATGGTTGAATAAGACAATGATTTAGTAATCAACCAACAAGGATTTAGTTAACCTGACTTAACTGGTATAAAATATTTTATGTGCCTGTCAAAAATGACTTGACATACCCCAGCGAATTTCTTTCAAATATGGTAGGGTTAATCACCATGGCTTGAAACTTTCCTGAACTGCAGTTTGATTTGACTGTATTTGAAAGAGTAACTGGCCTTTGTTATTTGTTTGTTTGCTTTTTTTTATAATGTTTATGTTGTCTGGAGAACTACTCCCTTAAATATTCAGTCAATTTCTTTCAAACTTAGAAGATTTAAATGAAGCTTAAATCCCCATACATATAGTGATGTTTTACTTACAGTAGTATGAGTCAACAATTTTTGAGTTATTTCCCTTTGTTCCTTTCAACATTTTAATCTTGTCTGCAGATTATATTAAGTTTTCCACTGTTTTGCCCTCCAGACATTTTGACTTATTACCATTTCCATATTTGTAATCTTTTTCGATACAACAAATCCTGAATATTTCTTTGGTCTGGGATAGGAGTATATTGTTCTGCCCATGGTACTCTTGACATTATTTAATAAATTAATAAAATTGATAGTTTGTACACAAAATATTGTCTTTTCAATTGGTTTATTAGATATGTTTTTGTTTGTTTCTTTGACTAGGTGCTGTATGCTGCATGACAACTGTTATGGTGTAGTAGATGCTTGTTACCCAAAGTGGATACATTACAAGTATGAGTTTGCATCCCATCCAGAGAGAGTCTTACATTGTCAAGGTAACTTCACCATCAGAGCTTTATATCTCTCTCATATTACAAATCAATAAGATAATGTTATTTAAATAGAAAGTGACTCTAAAAACTCTTTGGATTGTGACAATATTATGTATCATCTTTAAATCTATCCCTTACTTCTACAAATATGATTACTGCAGGACTTCACAGGAAAACATTGTGACATTAAAACAAAATTAATTGAAAGAACTGCTTCAATAAAATTTTAATGATACCTTCTTCATCATGTAACCTGACATCTGACATGTTGATTGATGCCCATTTGATTTTCTGGTACAGAGCTTTGTAAATGTGTCTTAGACAGAAAGGTCTGTTCCAGGAAGTAAAAGTATTAATGTAGCAGCTTACCAAGAATACTTTCTAATGTGTTGTATTGTGGCTGGCATACTTAAATGGCAAATCTTTATATAGTCATTAAGTCTCATACTGGAAGGATAATGTATTTTGTTATTGTTTCCCTTATCGATAGTTTTTTTTTTCAACAGACAAAAAGGAAACCTGTTACAAGAAGACCTGTGAGTGTGATGCAGCCCTGGCCACGTGTGTATCTAAAGCTCAGTACCACTCCAGAAATAAGGATATGTCGCAGGTTTCCTGTTACAAAACCAAGGCACCACCAGTCCCTAAAAATCCCTTCACAAAACTGTAATATCTCAACCAATCTCTGACAACCCCTTCACTCATCTGCAACATTCCTGTCAATTCTCATCAACTTTCTACCAAACTGGCAAATTCAAATTATCCCACACCTAACCTTTTATGAAATTGTAATGGTTCGTTAATATCCCCAAAACTCTTCCATGAACTGTAATATCTCAGATTGGCAGATTATTACATATCAGAGTTAGAGAGAATGCCAGGATGTTCCTCAGGAATACATATTAAAGATAGCAGAGTTAAAATTCTCCGAAGAAGCGGTGTCAGCACATATAATTAGGTTTTTATATAAAACTTTATCAAAACCATTAGATGCAATAAAGAGAAAAAATATTCTTCTACTTTCAAAAGAGTGATATTATTAACCAGACTCTGTAAATACAGTGTTGTACTAGAGAATCTTGTTGGTATTTAATTCTTGTGATAAAATTACTTGATTCACTTCTCAGTAATTTGTAATGTACTTCCATGTGTTTGTGCTGTACTTAATTTTTGAATGTCCTCATCACCATTCATTAGGGACTATTTGAGGGAATGAGATGTTAATGAAACAAGAAAAATTTTATTGTTATAATGGTTGAAACTGTTTATGATTTCATTATTTGTTTGAAAAGCAATAGTACAAATATTTTTATAAGATGAGCTGAGTATAGTAAGTTTAATGATTTCTGTACCCACATAAATACATGGTAAGTCTTCACACACTCGCACTCTTCAAAGAAAAGGACAGATGATTATTTGATTATTTTAGACAATCCTGCTTTATTTTCCATGTGATTACTTTACTTAGTATGAATGGATTTCTATAAAATTTGGTTTGTATGGGTATTTTACAATCCCTTAGCCGGAATCTGACTACTGCTGTCATTCATTGACATTGATGCAAAATTAATCGGTTTCCGTCCGATAACCTCACTTGATATGAATATATTTGATCAGATTTGATTAGTAAGTGACTATTTGTCATTTGTTGATGTGTATGCATAATTAATTAGGAACTTCACTCCTGATTGGCTAATTGGTTTTTATGTGTTTCCATGCATTAAATTAGCTTGGAACTTCCCGTTATTACACCTCAGATTAATAACCAGTTTACATTATACATGAAGTATATATATGTGTCCAGAGGATTCAGAAAATTATATAGTAATACTTGTATCAATATATATATGATGTTGAATATCCCTAAGTGCTTTTATTTACTGTATAATGTTAATAAGGTTCTTGGTTCAACCTTCTTAACAAATAATTTTGATTTTGAAAGAAGTGGGTATATAAATTGTATTAAGATATATACACAGCTATATTAGTGAAAAAATATATTCGTTGTAAGTTTTTAATAATTCAACTTACATAAAGAAATTATCAGTCTTTGTTAATTCATAATTCTTTACACAGAATTCACTCTACTGCACAAATATATGGATCTTGGGATCTAGATTTTGTGCCTACTTCTTGTGACAAAAATTGGTGGTCATTTTGTTGTAATTTACTTGCGTATCAAAAGCTGACAACATGTATTAGAACATGTTTTTTAGAAATGAGAACTTGGTAGCAGTTGTAAAATCTTTCACATCTTCTAAATCCAAGGGTTTTAATTTATCATGGTAAAGTTTAACAATCATCGTCATTGGTTCCAGACATAAAGAAATAAAAATCCCCTGTCATGTCAGAGCTGCACAGTATCACAAATGAAAAAACTGACAGTTTAAATATTTATGCTACCATTTTAACCCAATCACATGTAGAGATGAATGTTAAGTCAGTTAAATGGTTTTATCTGTTAGATTGCTTGCACAGAGCCTTTGATTTTGGCACTATCTTCAAACATTGTAGAGACAAGGAATCACGGTTGTAGTATTTTGAGAGTGAAATTCTTGGAACTTGAAGGGACCTGGTAAGAAAAAAAATGTAATATTAAAATCTGACATATCTCTCTCTAATGATCTGTATATGTACTGTTCAGAATTTCAGCTAATATCTACTGGGCTTAAAGGATCTTAGATCTCTCTTACAATTTTTTCTGTATTTTGAGAATATGAATATACATCAGATGTTGGTTTAGTTTATTTATATGATGGGTACATGATACAATACTTTATATATCATCATTGATGAGAGTTACAGGACCCTGTAGATGAATAGTATGTGATATTAACATTGTCTACATCTCACAGCAATGCCCTGAAACTTACACAGGAATCTCACATTTATAGTTACAGTTAATTGGTGCATATTTAACCGTGTTTTAAAATATTTTTGATAAAATAGTTGTTTATATAATGTTGATTTTGTACTTAAAGATCTTGCTAGGAAGCACTTTATATTTGGTGAGTTTTAGATCACATTCACGTTATTTGTGGAGATGGCTTTCTTTCATTTTTTTGGTCTTAGTACTTATATTTTTAAGTAAAAAATTTTTTATAATTTCATCTGATTTGAACGTGTCTAATGCCACAGTTGTACCGCAAAGTACAATATATGTACATACTAGCAAACTTTAGTGGTAGAAATGGGTCACTACTGAAAAGTATATGATTTTTTTAACATCATTTTATATTTGAACATTTTTGGCTTGGATTTGATCATTTGATTTGTGTACATTTTTTTGGTTTTTTTTATTTGTGTGAATGACTAAGAGCCACAACAGTTGTAATCATGTTGTATATTTTACAACAGAATGGATTGTACATGTAGATGCTGTCTGAATATTGTACAACAGAATGGATGTACATGTAAATGTTATCTGAATATTGTATAACAGAATGGTTTGTACATAACATTATCTATATTGTTGAGTTTTTCAATGCTGGCAGCATTTCTTCTGGCTATTCAAAGTATTAAAATTGTAAATAAGATTTCATACTGCAGATATCAATACATATTACGAGTTGTAACAAAGTTCTGGTCTTTATTTTCATATTTACAATTGTTTATAACAAATTTTAAATTTTTAGTGGTTTGTTTGACAAGTTAATTTCATTATCATTCATAAAAATGGCAATAATATTTATCTTTGCAATTATACTTGATACCTTTGATTGTTTGCATTACAAGTAAAGATGAATTAAAAACATTGATGTTGTAAGAAGGCATGTTTCAGCAGTGAAATTAATAGTTCTGTACGGGTAAAATAAAAACAAAACTTAAAAATATAGTATTGTTCTGATAATTTGGACAAAAATTAAAACTTGTAATGCAAACATGAAAATGATTTTTGTGGGGCTTGACTATGAAATCAAAGGGAGCTAATGCTTAATGGTTTTGGGTATTGGTCTGGATTTGTTTGGTTGCTATGAAAAAGATGAAGGAATTGAGCAAATAGTTTTTTGGTTTTTTTTACCTTTTCCTTTTGAACTACCAGAACAATTAAGTTTATATCAATGACAGGTCTTTTACCATATTGATGATTGTTTTAAATTTGAATTTTAATACCATATTCAATTTTAATTAAATTAGTATTATATTTAGTTTATTTTATATCAAAAGTGCACTACGATTGAAATAAAATTTTATCCCACCTGGAATTAAAACTTTGATAAAACTTTGATAAAACTTTGTCCCACCTGTATTTTAAAATTTAAATATGATTTAAATGAAAATTAATTGTCTGCCTTATAAATTTTTACTATGAATGAATTAAGATTTTGTCCCTACTGTATTGATTTTTTTACTACGATTTAAATAAAAAATTTCCCCACCTATGGTTTGGAGTTGGACAGAATTTTATATGTTTAATTTTAGGCTAATGGTTTATGTGGTAGAGTTTCAGTCCACCTATCAGATCAAGGTAAAATTGCTGTTTGGGATATTTTAATTTCAGGTTTGATGTTCCTGTTTTTTCTTGAATTATTTTTATACAGATTCAAAATAAACTTTCTTTTCTTTCAAATGTTGTTCTGATTTTCTTTTGTATGTGTTATTTGTTTTCTCATGATATCTTCCATTAAATTTCAACTATTTACATATATACTTTTTCACACAACCTGAACAACTGATAGTTTGACCTATATGACATGCGTTGGTGAATATATTCTGAGAAAAATCACTGACTCATAATCAATACAGAGAAAAAGGTTCATACAAAATACCGATCTTGATTCTGATAAAGGACCATATTCATTCTGCACTGATTGTGAAGCAATTTTTTTGAAACTAAATAAATAATAAAATTGTTAAGTTTTCAGTATCTAACTAAACGAATATAAAGGGAAGCTCTTACTTAAAATATATTAACATGACTTTTATTATTTTGTTATGAAAGCTTTCTTTTCCAAGAAAGGTGATCATGAACGGTGGTATAAATATATGGTTGTGAACTATTCTGAAGCATGTTTTTTACAAAAAATGCTTTCAAATCAAAGAAGAAATATATCAAGGGTGAAATCATGAAAATGATAGAGTTTCTACCAGGTAATTGACAACATCTTCATTGAGTTTGTTGGTAAGAACTTCCAACAGACTTGGCAAAGCATTGGAAACAAATTGTGCCCCACTTTTGGTTGATTTGTTTTTAGTTTCATAGGAGGCTGAATTTGCCATGAGGTTATCAAAACAGGTCACAAGGACCATGCAAAGTCTTTTGATTTCATTTTCAGATATAGTGATGAGGTCTTGTATTTAAAAGAGAAATTTACTGACCACATTTGTTGTACATACACCTCCCAAAGTCAGGAGTCAAGGACACAACAAACTCTTCTTTACCAACTGCTTATCTTCATCTTTTCCTGCAATGAAACCACCATGGACGTCTTTACATCAAGTTCTATGATAAGCATGGTTTCATTTCGCTATTGTGAAATTTTCCCATTTCTGTATAGCAACATCCAGCATTCCCAACCTATGGTGCTTACCTATCCCAGTTGTTTCTATATTCAAGGGTCTGTTCCCGTTATCAGGATTTTCTTACAAGAAATGGTCAACTGATCATGACGGACAAACTCGTAACACAAGGTTTCAAAATATGCAGGCCTATGAAAATTAAGAAGGAAGTCTGAAGGACATTGTAATGATCTCACTGAAAAATACTTCATGTGTGCGATATGAAACTGAGCATGTTTGATGCTCACTAGTTTTCCTGTTTGAGAAGGTGACATTTCTTGCTTGGATTTACACGCTGGGTGTCGTCGATGAAGCAGAAGACGCTTACACTTCCAGAACACCCAGTCTTATTGTCATTTTGCTTTTTCAGGAGTCTCCATGATAATCTTTCTTTTATTCAGATTTTGTCTTTTTTTTTAATTTGAGTTTGGATTATGTTTGTGTTTACGTGTTGGTAACTAGGACAAAAACGAACAAAGTATCAAATGAAAACATTCATTGGATATAAAATTAGGAAGGAACTTTCAAACAAAAAAAAAACAATAAAAGACAATTTCATATATTTTTTCGCAAAAGTTTATTAAACATGTATCTTTCATGGATATGCTGTCTAAGGGAGATAATGAGTATTTAATCACCAGAGTTCTTCAATGTTGGAGGTAAGTTTGGTCAGTCGATGAAAACAGTACACAGCATGTGTGTTGAAGTAAAGGAGTCATCTTCTCTTTGTAGTTGATTTTAGCCTATCTCTCTTCCTTTAAAACAACGAATACGAGACTGGTAAGCAGATATCCCAGGTCAACATAACCCTACCGATCACTGCGACTGTTAACAGAATCATACATGCTTTTTCGCCGCTAACTCTGCAGCTTGTCGTGTTGGTCCGAAATTTTTTTCTGGACAAAAATTAAGTTAATATTCACATTTATCATGCTGATATTGACGTTTACATTTTCACTGGTTAGGAAGCAGTAAAATGTAATTATGGATAACGGCATAATAACTGATATTAAATTATCATTTTAGAGACATCATTTTTTATCAAGGCGAGTTTGGCACAACCCCACATACGGGAAAAGGTCTGCATTTGAGGGATTGTTACTGGTTTGAGCAATCAATTAGCTACAAAACATGGGATCATTTGAAACAGAAACACGGCTTTTTTCAAGGCCTGCAACTCCTTGATTAGGTATTGACCTTTGTTGAACCTTTTGTGTCTAGAACATTCTTTGCTTTCCTTTTACAAGCTACAATAATGAAACTTGGTGTATACATTGGTCATACAAATGCTCTGAGAGGATGTGTAGTGTATGCCTGGAACCCCTCAACTGCAGAAAGTTTGCTCTTTGTTAAAATTTTGTGTCCAGTAAAGTTATTTTGGGGGAACATGCAGCAGTTTCACAGATACTCTTATTTAAACAGCAATAAGTTTTATGAAGATCAGCAATCCTGTTTTTTAAGGATATCTACATATTTACTGTAACTTGAATAGACAAGAAGCCTAGTCTTTTTACACAGGCATGATTGAGTATTTGAATGAAGAGAAAATTGTGTTGTTGTGTAAATATTACAGGATATTTGGCTACATGTAGTATTCACTTTGTATATCATAATAAAGTTCATCAACAGATATGTAAAGAGAATATCCAGTCCCAGTGTCATGATATCATCATATCATTTCAATTTGACACTATTTCAAGTAAGTGCAACTCTGCTTAACAGTAGTTAAAATATACAACTCAGCCAGAGAGAATTCTCTTTAACTTGATTGGTTAAGCGTAAGACTAGAAAGTCTGATGTTCCAGGTTCAAATTTGAGTGGAAGAACTAAGTAAATAAAAATGACCTCTGTTACTGTAGAATTAGACATGTTTCTTTGGTCACACTTTGTAGAGATGTGAAAGAAATTAAGGAAACCACTGGAGGAGTTACATTCCTGATGACATAGACAATTCCAAGATATTTCTCAAATTAGGTCTTAGTTATTACTGGTAATTTTCACAGATTTATCCTGTAATAAGCCCACTGGACTCACAAATCTCAAAGTATGGAAAGTATGGAATTGGTGTTATATTATTACAGTGAATGATGAAACAGTTATTGTCATTTCCAGTGATCATGAATCTGTTATACATGTTGGTAGGCTCATAGCCATGATAGTATTTATGAGCTTATTGTGGATTTCTTATTTATAAAGTTGTTTCCTTTCTCAGGCAGTAAGAGCATTGACCTACCTATGTCAGGTGTAGGTTTAAGATTCATGGTTCAGGGTTCAGTGCTTCCAACCTACAGGAAGCTGAGAAACAGAACAGTCTGTGCTATTTTGGTGGTGTCCTTGGGAAAGACTCTTTACACTAGTTTCTCTGGATGGCATGAATCAGGTTTCTTGTTTGTTGTTCAGTAAAGAAGCCTTCAGCTACTATAAGTATACCCAGGGCTCTCGATCTGCCAGATTTGGGGCCGATAGCAAAAGATTATCTTTTTTCCCAATTTAAACCCCAAGTAAGGCAAAGCCATCATTCTAAGGGCCCCAGTCCCAAAATGGGGTGTGAGAGCCCTGATACCCCACCTCAAAATGACTCTAGCAGTTCACAGGACTAGATAAACCCCAGGGAACAAACAAATAATCTCTAAAAATAAGAGATGACATCCTGATTTACAGGTCTGTAACCAGTATTTAGCATTAACAGGGATCTTAGCTTGTTGATGGTGGCTTCAGTCCCCAGGTCTGTTGTTGTTTGTTTAGTTTATTGTTCCTTAACCTCCTGTTAACAAGCAGGGTCATTTAAGGATGTGTCAGGTTTGTATGATGGAGGAAAGCCAGAGTTTCTGAAGAAAACACCACTGACCTGCGGCCAGTACCTTTTGCAACAACGCCTCATGTAGGCCTCAAAGCTACGACCCAGAGAGGGAGGGCGAGTGATAAAGATTGTCAGAAGCCAAAACCACTTGCCACAAAGGCCCCCTGTTTTTGGTGTTGGACTAAAAGTTTTGGTCAGCTGATTAATGTTAAACCATATAAACATTAATATTGTAACATGTAATGTATGTTATATTTCAATTAGAAAGGTATACCGCAAGTGGAGGAAGTGAAAACAGGACTGAGGTATGGGGAAGTCTAGTAAAGACAAAAGAGATGTGTACTACAGACTGGCGAAGGAGGAAGGCTGGAGAGCTCGTAGTGCATTTAAACTACTACAGATTAATCAAGACTTCAACCTGTTTCAAGGTAATTTGACTATGCTGTGATAAAATCCTGTATGTGATTCGAGGCAAATATAAGGGAAATTAGAAAACAAGAACAAATCTTGAATTCTGTATAAAAGGAAGCAATTCATTGTCATAGCTTTGTTTGTTCTAAGTTTTATGTACTATTACACAAGTTATATAACTTAAACACTCAAAACAGCAATTAAAAAAAGTTTGGGTGCTAAAATCTGTGGGTACCCGGTTTTACATCACAAACAACTAGTTTTATTAAAATCCTTGGAAATCCTGGCATGGGTAGATCTATATGAAGGATGTTCAATATATTTCAGTATTTTACTTGTGATTTACAGGTGTGAAAAAAGTGGTAGATTTGTGTGCAGCCCCAGGAAGCTGGAGTCAGGTGTTGTCAAGGAAACTCAGGTAGTAAATTTATTATATTTATTATATTCCCTGAAGGTAGAGCATGTAGTCGCTGCTTCACCTGTCCGTTTGTATGTTTGTCCGTCTATCATAATTTTGTCCAGAGCATAACCCCAAAAACTTTTAAGAGGTATCAACATAAAACTTCACAGGTAGATAGATCTCAACAAGGAGAAGTGCAGTGCATCAGAACCATTCCTCTCTTTTGCATAATTAAGGCTTTATTTGCTATTTGTTATTTTTCGTACTTAAATTTTGTCTGGAGCATTTCACTAAAACTATAAGAAGTATCAACATGAAACTTCATAGATAGAGAGATCTAAACGAGATGGAGGGGCAGTGTACAAAAGTCATAACTCTTTTTTTGCTTTTTGTTATTTTTTACACTTAAATTTTGTGCCATTTGTGGAGCATAACCTGTCTCTGACAGCCCTTGTTAGCCTACCAGATATGTGTTACCATAAGCTATATAAAGCCATTCCCCAAGCGTCAACATCCCACCCCCAAACACCTCAAAGTCTATAAAAGTTTGGGAATGGTATTTGAAAGGCTTCTTATTCCATAAGGATACATGCCACATTCATCTTATTTGGGATATACAGTTATTATTGGAAGCCTAAGATTGATATTTTAACAGTTATATTTCTTGTGTTTTGTGTTTTAGTCTTTATTTTGCTGTTGATGTAATCAAAATGAAAAAAATGATAATTTGAGAACATACTCCATGAAACTGTTTATAATCATATTGGCAGCAACTTGACAGTAATTTCATTTGTTAGCTTATTTTCTCTACTATTTTATATGAATGATATTGTAAGCAGCTGAAACTGTCAATAATATCAATTATCTTATCTTTTGTTACATATTACAGAGGTGAGGACGGGAAAGATGAGGATGTTAAAATAGTAGCTGTAGACTTACAGGCAATGGCACCCATCCCAGGGGTGATACAGCTACAAGGGGACATTACAAAGGTAAGATGTGGATTGTATATGGTTAGATCACCAGCCCCAAGTATCAGACAGGGGACATTACAAAGATAAGATGTGGATTGTACCAAGTTATGTCACCAGCCCCTAGTGCCAGACAAGAGGACATTACAAAGTGGTGAATTAATGCTAAAATAGATAAATTGTGAATTATATGTAACTGCGAGAGCACTTGCAGTTCTATTTCTTATTACTATGATAAGTAAAAGATGATTTACATTAAATCTGTCACCTGTGATATGATCATTTTGCTGGTCTCTGTAGGATTGTGTTTCTGCCTTAGAATTTGGTGTCTTACACATAGCCTGATAAGTACTTAATTCAGTGATGTTAATTTTCTTCAAAAATGTTTTTTAAAGAAATCAACAGCTCAAGAAATAATAGGCCATTTTGAAGGGGAGCATGCTGATCTTGTCGTATGTGATGGAGCACCAGACGGTATGTAATCAATCTAGTTTCCCGATTACATGTAACCTGCCACCCTCTTATGTGGAGACATAATGCCATTGGCTAGCTATTTTCTTGAAACTTCCATTGTAACACTGAAACAGCATTGTAGCTTTCCCCACAAGCATGATGTCAAGCAGGTGATTATTTAGATTTTAAAAAAGAACAGAAAAGCAGTTTCCCCACACAAATTTTGAAGCATGTTATAAAGTGGTTTTGATGTGGGTTGTGATAAAGAAAATTACTCAATCCTTTTAAAGTTACCAAACATGTTTTGTACATTACTCAAAAAGTGATTTATTTTGCTTTGTCTCTGTTGTTAAAACTTGATACATTACATACAGGGATAACGGAAGGATGGGGCGGGGGAGGGGTAATAACCATGGTTGTAACAAATATATACTATGAAATCAGATATTTTTTGTGGGTTCAATTTTTGTGGTTTTCAAGATATTACTGTTTCATGGATATTTGATTTTGTGGGTAATATAGCTCAATAAATCTACTTGTTCTAATTTTAACAATATGTGAACATTTTTATTTGTTAATCATGAGTGCATAAAAAATCAACAAAATAAATCTCCCACAAAAATTGATGGTTTTACAGTTTTGACATGAATGACATCCATCTTATTCTTAGAATATTATATAGAGTAGTTAAGAAAATTTATATCTGTTGTTTTATCCTTTTTCTAGTCACTGGACTTCATGATATCGATGAATACATTCAAGCACAATTGTTGTTGGCTGTAAGTATGAAATTTGTATAAATTCAACCCTGAGTATTCCAAACTCCTGTCTAATCTAAACACTAAGTATTCCAACTGCTTGTCTATTCCAACTTCTGAATATTCCAATATTCTATCTAGTCTGATTGTTTAGTATTCCTACCTTTTGTCTGTTCTAGCCCCTGAGTATTTAAATATTCTATCTAGTCTAATTGCTGAGTATTCCAACCTCTTGTCTGTTATAGCCCCTAAGTATTTCAATATTCTATCTAGTCTGTTGGCTGAGTATACCTACCTCTTGTCTGTTATACCCCCTGAGTATTTAAATATTCTATCTAGTCTGATGACTGAGTATTCCAACCTCTTGTCTATTCTAGCCCTTGATTATTCCAATATTCTATCTAGTCTGATGACTGAGTATTCCAACCTCTTGTCTATTCTAGCCCTTGATTATTCCAATATTCTATCTAGTCTGATGACTGAGTATTCCAACCTCTTGTCTATTCTAGCCTTTGATTATTCCAATATTCTATCTAGTCTGACTTCTGAGTGTACCTACCTCTTGTCTACTCTAGTCCCAGGTTATTCCAATATTCTGTCTTATAAGACTTTTGAGTATTATAACATTTTAATGCTTGCAATTATTTTCAATTCTGTATGACCCGTAAGATTCAATAATAACATCAGTGCTATGGTATTCTGATATCTGTGTGCTGGCTGACAAAAGCAGATTTACTGACTATATTGTACCCATATATGTTTGGAAAGGATCTCTAAACTCTGTTTATATTACACCATTTTTCCCGTTGCAATAAAATGTACATGAAGTAAATAAGTTTCAGGTCTATGTCTCCAGTACAGTCCTGTTTTAATGTAATGAGACGATGACATTAAATGGCATTTTTGATAGACCTAACTAAGGGTAAAAAGATTTAATAATGTTTAGGGAAAAAAATTGTAATGTATAGCAACTTAAACCTTTATATGAAAATATATTGACATTTATCATTGTTGTGTTTATATATATCCTCAGGCACTGAACATTACTACTCATGTCCTGAAGACTGGAGGAACATTTGTTGCCAAGGTAACCTTACCAGATCTCAAAATTAAACTGGCAACAGTAGCAATTAGCTGCAAGTTATCTGTATCAAGTACACAAATGTACCAGATGTATTTTCGTTACATCTTAATTCCCAAAAATACATATTTCTATACATTGTGATGTTGGCATCCATTGACTATCATAAAGTACAGACATTGATTATCATAAAGTACAGTCATTGAATATCATTAAGTACAATACTTTGTTACAATGAGTAGAATCAGAAGAGCTCTGTATTATATGTATATTGCTTTATAATCACAGATGACATATATTTCAGATATTTAGAGGCAAAGATGTCACGTTGCTGTATTCACAACTGAAAATATTTTTTCCACTGGTGTCTATATTTAAGCCGAGAAGTAGCCGGAATTCTAGTATAGGTAAGACTGAGTTACACATTTACAATATCTTGCCTATTAGATAAGAGAATAGCCTGACATGTGATATATAGAAAAATAACATTTAAGTTTAGAAAAAAAATTAACTTCTAAATCGTCTATATATACTGGTATACACAAATACATGAGAAAGACAATCATTCACAATCTCTTGACTCATTTTAATAACACTATTAATGATTGGATGAAAAATTTTAGTCAAATAAAGATTGATGACAACAGTCAGTAAAGTTAGAACACTTTCAAAAATATTTTCTCTTTTGAAAAATAAAATCTATTTTCAATAGCAGGACGAGATCTGCCAGGGTTAGGGCCCTGGGTTCAATCCTTTTACATTAACTGTAAAGGGAATGGAGGTCATTCACTTGACATACTTTTAAAAAATTAACAAAGATAGCATTGAAATATTTTAGTAGTGGGTAATTTTTAATGGTCAGAGTTTAGTAATTGATACCGGTTACATCATTATATATACAAATATGACCATGAAATAAATTTGGTATCATTCAATCACAGTAACATAAGTTTTCACAACTTGCACACTTACTTTATACATCCACTGTACAATCACTTTCATTTATACACATTACATATTTTATAGTCTGGGTCCAACTGTATACACAATCTAGATATATGACCCATTTCAACTTCAATATATTTTAGGGATGTCAGTGAAATTTCAACTTCAATATATTTTAGGGATGTCAGTGAAATTCCAACTTCAATATATTTTAGGGATGTCAGTGAAATTTCAACTTAAATATATTTTAGGGATGTCAGTGAAATTTCAACTTAAATATATTTTCGGGATGTTGGTGAAATTTCAATTTAAATATATTTTAGGGATGTCAATGAATGTTCTAATATTTGTTTAGATGCTTAAATGCCAAAGTATAATAAGTGTTTAAATTCTATGATAACTGCCAATATCTCACTAGTCCTATTTAAATCACAGGGTCTGGATCACTTTTGATAACGTGACATAATACCTAGTACAAAAATATTTCGTAACTTTTAAAATTTGTTTGTTTACATTTATATTTTAATACACAAATTGTTGGTAAAATTGTATAAGATATTATTTTTTGTTAAGTTTAATTATATAATATCTGTTATGAGTTTCTTTTGTTTTCAGAGGCGTTTGTTGTTTGTCAGGGCTATGCTCCACCAGAAGGCTACCAACCCAATATGTCCAATCCACTTCTGGATCATCGTTATGGTAACTACCTCCATCAGGTCATGGTTAAAATTGATATTACAAGTTTGTATAGGATAATCATATATCATAATACATCATACTTTGGTATTAATGTATTTTGTCAAACTTTCAACGTTTTGGGTCAATTTTACAAATAAATTTGTCTGTATGTAAGTCACAAATAATGCCATGAAAATTTCAGTTGAGATACATTTCATGTTGTGTTTCATCAGATGTAGATTTTAACAATCTGGAGGGTCCTAACAGGGTCATAGTTCCTTTCTTGGCTTGTGGAGACCTCAGTGGGTTTGACTCCGACAGAACCTACCCACTCCAGGTAAGTGTTATTATCTCCCTTTATCTATCATCACCCAAGCCTCAGTGGTAAAAACTGTTTTTATTGGTACTTGGAAATAAATACCATTTTACAGTCAGTTATCCAAAGGATATGGTCAGTGATCAATTTACAATTTATTTTCCTGAGTCCATTTCAACTTGATTGCTAAAATGAAGGGGTCCCACAATTGAAAATTTAAGTATTGCAAGAAGTTCTGTAAGTCCCATCAAAATTCTACAAGTACATTACTGGAGATTTGCCTGTATATTGATAACGGTGTGATGCAAGATCATACATACTTGTATACTGTGATATATGGTCTTATACCACAACAAATTTTACAAAACAAAATTGTTTTGGGTTGGTGTCCATACTACAAAGTGTAATTTAAGAGTAGCAGTAGTTGAATGAGATGTGGCTTATAAATTTCTGTTAAATACCCATCAAATATGCAGTAATTGACAGTCAATGGTACAGATAGAATGAAAGTAACTGTCCAAGTAGAGATCAATCTGATCGTTTAGTGTCAGTGTTAATTGTTTGGCAGGTGAGTGGTTAAGGCATCAGACCATCACTAACCCTCCACCTCTGGGTTATGGCTTTGAGGCCTATATGGGGCATTTGTCAGGTACTGGCTGCAGGATGGTGTGGTTTTTTTCTGGGAACTCCAGCTTTCTCCCATCACTCGAAAATGGCAGGTCTCTAATTGACCCTGGCTGTTAATGGGACATAAAACACCAATAAACCAATTACTTAAGGAGAAACCTGTAGGTCTCTTACAGTATGCAGTAAAGGCTATCTTCACACTGTGAAAACAAGTACTTACCCAGAGCTAGAAAACTGCTGTATTGCATTTTGTGCATAAAATGCACATGGAAACAGTAATGGAATGTTATTGTAAAGATTTGGTTATCCTGATAAATTAAAACACCAGTTCATCAAATTTAAGTTAAAAAAGTTTCATTCTGAATTCAGTAAATTGGGCATGTGCAATATAAATGTTCAATGTGAGTTTAAGGCATGGAAAACATCATGTACAAAGAAAAACTGTATCAGCATCTGAAACATTCAACTTTGTTCACTTCTGTAAATCAAGCTTTCCCTAAACCACCCAATGTCCATGCCCCTTACATGAACAGCTTGCTGAAATTTCACTGTATGATATTTGCTTAGCAACTTGTGGGAGAGTTTATGAAAATGTTTTTTTGTTTAAAAGCTTGAAGGAGTTAGTGAAATGAATCATTGTTGATCGATACACAGCTGGAGGGTGATATGAGAGAAATGAATATCTGTTTTTTGTTTGGTAGCTGGAGGAAGGAAAGGGTTATGTCTATCATCCCCCTACACAGTCTCCCATCAGTCCTCCATACAAAGAGGCATGCCATCTTAGAAAGACTGACCAACTTGCCAAGCAGGAAGTGCAGACAACTTGTCCTGCTGCCAAGGCAACTGTAAATAACCAAGACATCGCCATGGAAGGAGCTTGTGGTGGTGAAGAACATTCTCACAAAAGTGATAATAATAGAACTGATGACAACATTTCGTGTGAGGAGAAAATACCCCAGGACTTATCTGTTCAATCACAGCTAAATGATATGACTTTAGATAATTAATTGATGTTATGTTTATCATTAATAAAAACAAAACAAAAAGCATACATAACCATACTTATATTTTGGCGAACTACATCCTTTATAAAGTTACAAGTTGTTTACCATCACTGTGTGACAGTGTTGTAAATTCATGTTTAAGGTTTATCACATAGCTGTGAGATTTGTCTCAATTATTCTCACACAATTTCAAGTGGAATCTAATATTGTGGTGAAACTCTTTGAATGTTACTTGATTTCATCAAAAACTTCTGTTTCATGTTTGCTGATCGCAATGTTGTCCAGTCCATGGCTGGGAACAGACACACTGATACATTGAGAATTCACGTCTGGTCTGTAAGTCCGAACCCACTTGAAAGTCTGTAGTTCTGTTCTGTTTTGTAGGCCAAGTTGTTCGAACACAGTGTCCATGACGATTACACCACTTTGTATGACACTGGCTTGCAAAGCTGGTAATGGTATTGATATAGGGCCCAAGTGTCTGTTCTAAGTAGTCCTTCAGAGAAAGACAATCAGACTTGTTCTTGAGGTTTGAGGAGCTATCCCACACTACCACACCATCCAACCCAGCATCAAAGGACTGGCCAATAGTATTCTCCAGGTCAGGCTGTCAACAAGATAAAAACTGTCATCCATAAGTCAATTCAATGGCAGGATAAACTTGATTATTAATGGATTGTTGTTCACATATCAACTTATTTTGCAGTTTTGCATTTCAACACAAATTTTCTATCTAGGTCTATTCCAGTAAATTTTCTACTTGATCCTGGGATTCCAAAATACATTTCTTCCAGTCTATTACTTCTAAGCAAATTATCGATCAATACCAGATATCCTGGGATGGGATAGATGTTTACTGGATTAGCCCTAAAATAGATGTTTTACAGGGTTAGTCTTAAACAAAACCTGCAGTCCTGGGGTAGAATAGATGTTTTACAGGGTTAGTCCTAAACAAAACCTGCAGTCCTGGGTTAGAATAGATGTTTTACAGGGTTAGTCCTCAACAAAACCTGCAGTCCTGGGGTAGAATAGATGTTTTACAGGGTTAGTCCTAAACAAAACCTGCAGTCCTGGGGTAGAATAGATGTTTTACAGGGTTAGTCCTAAACAAAACCTGCAGTCCTGGCGTAGAATAGATGTTTTACAGGGTTAGTCCTAAACAAAACCTGCAGTCCTGGGGTAGAATAGATGTATTACAATGAAGTTTTTTTCTGACACTTTTCTTACAGAAATGATTTTAAAAAGCTCTTCTGCTCTATCAAAACCAACACAAATTGGGGCCATAAGTGTCAGATTCAAATGTAGGTTTTATTGCTCTTGGGGACAGCTGGCTTTGGATGTATATTATATCTTATAATCTACTACATATTATAATAACATACCAGGTTTGATAATTAAATCAGTATTGGCAATATTATTCTCCTTACGGTAATGTAAAAGTCTTCCTGTCTGTACCGATATCTGGTGTAGGCATAAATTGGCTTCATCCTGATCGGTTTGCAATTACGGCATAGTAGCGACTCCCTCACTCTCAATGACTCCTTGATGATCCCTTGTACCCTTAGGGCCCTGTCCTCAATAGTCGGGAACAAGTCTTTATCCAGGTAGATCGAGGGAAAGAGTGCTGAACTAGCATTAAACAGCCAGGACAGTCTGGATACAAAAATACAGTCATTTTTAAAGAAAGAACAAGAAAGTCTTCAAAACGAAAAAGACAAACAAAATATAATATGACAATTAAAAGAATTGACTCTGAACAAGTTTGATGTTAAGGATTCAATCTTTAATGACCTTGAATAACCTTGATGACCTTGACCCAGAAAGTCTACAACCAATTTGTATGGAAACATTGTTGAATTGATATTCTAAATCACAAGTGGTAAGAAAACTATGTGTGAAGGCAATACTGACACCTTCATCACGCAGGGTAGTACATGTATACAGTGTACGAGATCGTAATGAAATAATTCTAATTTCAGCAACCAAAGAATTCACCAACAGTTTTCATGATAAACTTAGCTTTCTATACAATCACATTGGAAAGGAAAGTAATGACAAGCAATGAGGAGAATTGTAATTTATTACATAACAAGCTTGAAACTTAATAAAAATTTCAACAAAAAAAGATGGAGAAAACGTCAGTTTAGAGTCAATTGATTGATAAGTTGGGCACTGTGCCTTCAGTGTGGATACCAAAAGGTATGTCAGGGCAGTGAAATAAAATATCAAAATAAATCCAAGTAAGTTTCAATTTCAACACACACCAAGCATCACCATAAGTTGGATATTTGTTGGCCACATCAGGCTTAAACAAGGCCCTGATGAAGCCTTGCACCGGAGGGGGGAGGGGGCAAAAATTAGTCGGCCAACAATAATAAATATCTCACACACTGGTAACGCTTGGTGTGTGTTATAATTGAACTTGCTTGTATTAATTTAGATAAAAATATGTCAGGAAATAATGAGATTGATACGGACAGCAATAAAATCTGACAGTATTTCTTGTTTCAGTATAACAAAAAAGTTTTTAATAAAAGGTTGATCAACTACAATTTGTATGCATGTATACTACTTACCTATGATAATGGCATTTTTGAAGAGCTGGCAAAATTTATAAAAAGTAGTTACATGTACATGTATACGAATTATTATATAAGTAAGGAGGTGGGTAGGGATGGGAGGGCGATGATTTGATTTCTAGAAACACTCTTATATCCTGATGAAGGCAGGCAGTGTCCCAATACTATAATTAGGTTTAGACGGTCATATGGATATGAGTTAAGCTGGTCTCAAAAATACATGCTTTCTATTAGATGATTTGGTTTACCTGTTATATTGAATTTGTCTTCAGACTAATCTGAATCATCAAGACTTAACCCCATGGAAATTGAAATAAGGTCTCAAAGCAATGTCAGCTCAAAAAAATAGATATAAGTGATTTTCAAAAATTCTCTTTTGACTTGAGGGCATAATTTATAATTGAAGCAAGAATTAGACCTAATAATTAATTCCAAGCTGAGAGTATTAGTGGAAATACCTACTCATTATTATATTGTATTGTGTCGTTGGCGCATTGATCTTGTCCTAGCCGGTAGTTGTAACACCGTGGAAATCCATAATATCCCCATTTGCCATTCCCACGTATCCCTTTTGCTTTCCATAATGTCTGGTTCATTAGCAATCTGTTGTGAAAAAAATAATCAATATCACAGGTAAAAACAACAACATCTTGGGCAAAACGACATCTCCGGTAAAACAACACCTCAGGTAAAACAACATCTCAGGTAAAACAACACCAGGTAAAACAACATCTCTGGTAAAACAATATTTCAGGTAAAACAACACCTCAGGTAAAACAACACCACCAGTAAAACAACATCTCAGGTAAAACAACACCACAAGTAAAACAACATCTCAGGTAAAACAACACCACCGGTAAAACAACACCACAGATAAAACAACATCTCAGGTAAAACAACACCACAAGTAAAACAACACCACAGATAAAACAACACCTCCGGTAAAACAGCACCTCAGGTAAAACAACACCACAGGTAAAACAACATCTCAGGTAAAACAACACCTCAGGTAAAACAACATCTCAGGTAAAACAACTCCTCAGGTAAAACAACACCACAGGTAAAACAACACCACAGGTAAAACAACACCTCCGGTAAAACAACATCTTAGGTAAAACAACACCTCAGGTAAAACAACATCTCAGGTAAAACAACTCCTCAGGTAAAACAACACCACAGGTAAAACAACACCTCCGGTAAAACAACATCTCAGGTAAAACAACTCCTCAGGTAAAACAACATCTCAGGTAAAACAACACCTCAGGTAAAACAACATCTCAGGTAAAACAACTCCTCAGGTAAAACAACACCACAGGTAAAACAACACCTCCGGTAAAACAACATCTTAGGTAAAACTACACCTCAGGTAAAACAACATCTCGGGTAAAACAACACCAGGTAAAACAACATCTCTGGTAAAACAATATCTCAGGTAAAACAACACCTCAGGTAAAACAACACCACCGGTAAAACAACATCTCAGGTAAAACAACACCACCGGTAAAACAACATCTCAGGTAAAACAACACCACCGGTAAAACAACACCACAGATAAAACAACATCTCAGGTAAAACAACACCACAAGTAAAACAACACCACAGATAAAACAACACCTCCGGTAAAACAGCACCTCAGGTAAAACAACACCACAGGTAAAACAACATCTCAGGTAAAACAACACCTCAGGTAAAACAACATCTCAGGTAAAACAACTCCTCAGGTAAAACAACACCACAGGTAAAACAACACCTCCGGTAAAACAACATCTTAGGTAAAACTACACCTCAGTGAAAACAACATCTTGGAGTATTTTGTTTATTGCTTTCTCAAAAAATAAGGAATATTTTCTAATTGGAAACATCACCACAAGACAGCTTAGCTGGTTATTGTTATTAGGACATTCTTAACGACCTGTCAACACATAAAAGGTCATTAAGGCCATCAACTAGTAAAACACAGTGATCCAAAAAAAGGAAATAGCATTAAACAAATTAAAAGGTAAAAGACAAATGCTAAAAATCTTATATGGGTATTATATCACAAAAGAATAAAATGGTACATCATAGTGTATTATATAGGCCAACATCTTTCAGGTTATGTAGAATTTAAAAAATCCAAACAGTTTCAAAAAGGGTTTTTAGACATGTAATGTTTTGGAACCCAGAAGCAGTACCACCTCTGATGTATGGTTGTAGTTGACCTATATAGATGTGAGATAACCTTGACCTTGGAACCCAGAAGCAGTACCACCTCTGATGTGTTGTTGTAGTTGACTTAAATAGATGTGAGATAACCTTGACCTTGGAACTATAACACTTCAGGTGTTCATATGCGTATTGAAATGACAAAAGTTCAACAACCCAAGTTCCAAAGGTTCGAAGTTTTATTTAACATAATTCACCAGGTATGGCTCCACGAGAATAACAACAGGATACGTTACAACTATAATAAAACAGTGGACCGACGACCCGTCACACTGGTGTATAACTAAGTAATTTTCTTGGCGAAAAGTTCGAAAGTTCCTATAACATTTAAGTTTCATATGGCCGAATGTGAGTAGCCGGAGACCGCAGGTTGGCGTCAGTAAAGGTTCTCCGAGCTGACTGTGAGTAGCCGGAGACCGCAGGTTGGCGTCAGCAAAGGTTCTCCGAGCTGACTGTGAGTAGCCGGAGACCGCAGGTTGGCGTCAGCAAAGGTTCTCCGAGCTGACTGTGAGTAGCCGGAGACCGCAGGTTGGCGTCAGCAAAGGTTCTCCGAGCTGACTAACTCCGCAAGTCTCCAAGGCTGCTTTTATAATATCTGTGACATATGAATGTCAGCGATTGGTCAACTCCCCTGCCCACAACATTCCAGCGGGAGTCAGCATACCTGTTCTGCCCCAGGTCGGCTGACCTGTATCTATACAATCAAATTGTGTAAATGAACTTAATTGATTTTCTTCTGCCCCAGGTCGGCTGACCTGTATCTATACAATCAAATGTGTAAATTGAACTTAATTGATTTGTATTAATTGATACTTTGACCATCTTGAAATGGTACTCTATTTGGCTCTTGACCAACTGCCACGTACGTTCATTCTTTCTACCCATCTATTTTATTAGCCTGTGTTATCTCCATGGTCCATTATCGTCCAGTTAACCCATTACCCTAATGCACAATACACACAGTATTAGCATTGTTTACGCTACCACAGGAAAACATGATTATGTTGCACTAATATATATAATATAAAATTCATATCTTGAAATAGTAATGAAACAGGACCATGTAATGATCATGTAATCATTACGTAATAAGGCCATTGTGTTACAGAACCCTGAAGCACTATCACCTCTGTTGTATTGTTGTAGTTTACCTTTATCTAATTATTTTATCAAAATCCCTTAAGGAAACAATTATCAATGGGCTTGAAACACATGCCTAGAGCCTTCTGTTTGAAAGGAGACCATTCTGGTAACTCATGTACATCTCAAACATACCTCTTCTTCATAGTATATATGTTGAAGTGATGAAATATTCAGGGGTTCTGGATTACCAAATTAGGAACTGATTCCTGTGACCTTGAACAAAATTTGTTTAAGACTTAGACACACTTTGCTCACATGACTTTGAAAATGTGTGGTTGAACTGAATGGATGGACCAGTGGACAGATGGAAGTCAAGCCACAGGAAAAACTCACTTGTCCTTCAGATAGGTGTGTCAATAAACTTATGCTATAGCATTGGTGCATTTAGGTCATAACAAGATGCCACACTTCTAACTGATAAAGTTTTATTTGAAATTCTGAAGATGTAAAGATATTAAGAATGCTACTGAAAGATTTCACAATTGGCAGATATAGCAAAGCATGCTTGACACATAAAATGCCGAACATTAAAGAGATTTTTTTTTTTTTTTTTATTATCATTAATCATTTTGGTCAAAGCTCAACACATTCCAGGGCAGTACCTAAAAACAACTAATAGTCTGTTTGAATTGAGTCTAGTATATTGGTAAAGTAATTCTTCACCATAGCATTATGAGAAAAGTATATATAAGAGATTTAATACAACTTATAATCCTGCTATTTTTCCACATTTTGTAAGAAATTTCCACCAGGCCCTGTAGGCCTTTTTCGTTTTGTCGACAATGATTTACGTTGCCAAACGTTACAAATTAGAGATAGCGACCGCATTAGCGTGGTTATGAGTCTCATGCTGTGTAACGTTTTAATCATTCTCACACTGGAAGCAAGCATTTTCCCGATCGAGATTCAATGGCGGGTAACTTGAAAAATGGCGTCGAAAAGATCTCTGTACAGACCTGCACCACAGCAAAATGTTGTACCGAGGAGAAACAGGTGTATATTTGTGTTTATGCAGTTCTTGATGTTTCAAAAAGTTATAATAATTCCGAACAATCATGCCCGCCATGAAAATAAAACTGTTGATGAAACTTCCGTAAATTGGGAAAAAAAAATCGCTGTTGGCTGGCTCACCTTACCAGTGATCGAACATAAAATATAGTTTTCCTCTTTGTTGATATAAATGCTTATTGATTATTTCAATTATTGTTGTGTACACTTAGGAGAGATATCTCCATAAGCATTTTCGGCTGTATTAAAATCACATAGATGATACAGATGTCAAGTTGGGCACAATCTCTCACATAGTTAACAGTCCTGAATTTGAGGGACGGGTGTACATGGGATAGTTACTGCTTTGTGAAATCAGTTATTTACTCAAATGCAGTGTCATTCTGAAAAAAACCCATACATTTCCTCGATGAATTTGTAACAAAAAGGGGTATCATCTTTTTTCCTCGGTTTTCTACTATTTCCACATAAAACCTTTCCAATTTCTCTTAGGCGATAACCATTTTCCAAAATGTCCAGGACACGTTGAGAGAAGACATTAAAAAGGGAAGAGAAAAATGATATATACCATTTCATTTTAGATAATTATACTGAAAAACAGCTTTTCAAGAATTACATTGGTTCAAAACTAATTCTCCATTTTCTTGATTTTTTTCCAGAAAACCTCTTGCACAAGGCCGTCTGGTTTCTGCTGGGGGTGAAGGTCAAAAGAAGAAAGTATTGGCCAGTGGAATTGAAGGTACAATGTCAGAAACCCCCAACACCTGCACAAAACATTGTTTTCATTGTGAAGATTTTCAGTCTGCGATATAAAATTTTGATTGAAATGGGGTGCATCTTGTCAAAGGAAGAGAAAGCAAGACCAAAGTGTTGAATAAATCTGGTGTTTTGGTCCACATTAACTTTAATAAATTGTCATATGTGGTGTTTATTTGTAATTTTAAAAAAGGAAATCTGCAAGAATTTTGTGAATAATATGTAAAAACTTCTGAATATCTATTCATTCTGTTTCATTAAGAAAACAGCTAATTATGTGGGTTGAGGTGTTAGGATCTTTGATCAAGAAATAATTTATAACTCATGACATCATTGAAGATAAAAGAATCAAATGAGATATTAATCATGTTTTCATTTCTTTCTACAAAATATGCAGAAAATGCACCAACAAGCAGCAATTGTTCTGAGAGAGCACAACAGTCAACAAGGAAACAGATCCTTGATACTTCAGTGACACGAGTTGGGCAGGAGCCTGAGAGTGTGACAGTTACACCTCGCAGGTAAAGTACAATCAAAAGTTAAGAAAAACTCAAAAAACAAAAACTGTTCAATTAAAAGTTGTTTATGATAACCTAAAAATGTGCAGCATTCAGGAAGATGTAAGTAATTCCAAAGTTTTGTTGTTTTATATAGAGCATACTAAGTTGTGACAAGCAAAGTGCATAGGAGTTTGGCATTATCAAGATAGTCCTGTTAGTTTCACTTCATAGGTTAAGCACAATCAACATGCCTGTTGCATCTCATTGGTAAACCAGTCCGTATCAAGTTATATGACGACACCAAATACTCCTTCAATCATGAAATTTTCAAAAGTTACATTGAATATCAGCTGAAATGTAAACGACAGAATGATGTTTATATTTGTAATATTACAATGTTAGTTACCTGTTGAAATTTAAACAGTAATATTCGATAGGTCTCCTGTCCATTGTTCAGTGTTCACTGATCGTGAGATATAGCCACTTGTTACCTCATGGGGACTCACAATAAAATGACCCTGGCTTTCATGTAGTGTTAAACCCAGTAAACAAACTACCGGTATAACTTCATGTAGATCTTGTGAATTATTGATCGTTAGGTTTACTAAAAGAGAGAAAAAAAATCCTTAATGTAACAACAATTGTACCTCCTTTTTAATGTTACAGAATGGCCCCTAGTGCCACTGAACACCGATCTCCAGCACCTTCCAATCCTGCCATGAATCTCGACCTCTCTGATAGTGACCTTGACCTTTCCTTGCAATACAAGGTAATACAAAATGTACTTTGATTACAACACCAAGTTAAATAAGTTTTACTACAAATGATTTGCTTGTGAATTTTCAATGATTACCAGGGACTGAATATCATACTGAATATCATACCCTGATTATGATATATTTCATCTTTTTTAAATGATTTTTCTATCTCATAGATCAAGAAATTTAAGCTGAAAATATTGTTTCCCTTTTAAGTAATCTTCCTACGAACCTTTATACCAGGAATATGGAAAATTGAAAAGCCATGAGCCCAACACACATAGCAACTGTACTAACCTGAGAATTCCTCATTAGAGTTTACCACAGCATCAGTCAGACTAGATGCAATGTGTCTTTTGAGAAGCATTTACGATGGATTAGATATAAATGTTGGAGTCTACATCAACTGTTTATTCTCTCAGTATCAGTACAGCAGTTACTAAGTCTGGTATATTAAGTTGAGTTATAAACAAATACAACTGAAATAAGGATCAATATTCAGATTCAGAAATTGGTCGAATTTTGAAAATTATGAAACTGGCAAATTTTGTAAATTGTTGATAACTCTTTCATGTATGTATTTCAAACAGGTTTTGGGTGCATTTAGGATTTTTTATACTTAATTTCATTGTTTTTTGGATATATGATATTTTAGTGAGCTAAAGCACACTGCATAAGACTTAATCCATTGATTATATTCTAGATGGCTGTTAAATGATAACCAGACAGACATTCAACTTGGCTGGTGGAATTTCATCTCTAATGTGTTACAGTTGTATTTTCTTGAAAAAGTTTAATGCACACTACATATTTTACTTGTCATTATAATCCTGTACATTTTATGGTTGTTGCTGGTAGTCTCCGACCACAAGGATACACAAACAGAAACCACAAGAGGTCTTGCTGATTGATGCTTCACGCCAGACTAAGGATCCTAATGAATCTGAGGTGGACATTCAAATTGGGTTTGAAAGGTCGCCTGTCAGAATTATCTGTCACTCACCCTCAGCCATTGAATCTAGTTTCAGGTATTCAAAAAGCCTATGAGTATATTTTTGATTATTTCTTGTTGAACTGGGTTTTACAACCTCAATCGTAAATGTTGATTTTTTATATAAAAAGTGTATTTTCGTTTTGTTGACTTATCTGCGCGACCATATCATGTTCTTTTTTATGTTCAATCTGTCTCTCAGAATTTGATGTAAAATTCTAAGAATTTGGATTACAGACTTATTCTGCAGTGCTGTCAATCATTTTTTTCTACATCTACACTGAAAAATTAGATTAAAAAAGTTCTATGGATAATTGAAAACTAAATGTCACATTTTGAAACTGTCTTTATTTTAACTGCAGCAAAATGAATAGTCATTAAATCTTAACATTCTTTTATGAGCAAATTAAATTTTTTATATTTTGAAGTTTTTGTTAAAAAACAAGAGGGCCATGATATACATGAAGTATAAGAATGCATGCTAATCCCTTTTTTTCTAGTTCCTGCAAAATTAACTTTACACTGTATTATGGTACATTTCAGAGCCTCAGCAGAAAAGGCCAGGGAAACCCATGACAAAAATGTGTCCATACGTAGTGCTATTTCTCTATCGGAGCCTGAGCGAAACCAGAGTCGTAAAACCCCTATTGTGATACGAGAGAAAGCAAACTCAGGTTTGTTTACATTTGTCTACCTTTGGTTGTGAAATGTATTTTGTAAATTGTTCATTTGTGTAAAAGAGGATATCTAAAGCAAGTTATTAAATATGATTTTCATACTCTTGTGTTCTTTAAGAAAATTCTCCCAATTTTTTGGATGTGTTCTCCATGAAAGTTTCCTTTTAATATTTGGGTGGCAGAATTTATCATATCCTCATGCAGTAAAAGCAGCATTCTAATAGCTGCATGTTGCTACCATATGTATACTGGTGCCAGAGGTAGCATCATTTTTATAGGTTGTATACAAATTGATTATTGAAAAACCTGACACAATGTACATCAACATCTCTGTTCCATAATACCCATAGGAGATGGTGTTGAATACCAAATATACTGCAGCCTTGCAGGGAATAATGAACCATAATGAGATGATGCTTTACTCTGGTGTTTGTTTCCAAACCAGTATTGAAGGAACTGTGTTGTATTCAGCTATGTCACTAAAAATGTGGTTGTATGACACAAAAGTTATCAAAGAGGTAAAAGACATCATGGTAATACTTTGTTATCTTCTGTATCTAGGACCTGGACAGCACCACCAAGCATCGATTGACAGTTTACCATTACTGACGCAGATAGAGAAGGATCTTCAGTACAGACAGACATTCCCCCAGCCCAATTTTGATGACTCTTCTGTCTCTTCCATTGCTGGCAATCCAGTCCGAGATATTTTGGGTGAAAATGATCGAGATGATGCCCAGTCCTTTGTCAGTGATGTTAGTGATGTATGCTCATTGGATGAGTATGTCATTAAGGGGAAAAAGACGACTAAAACGTAAGATTTTATAGAAATAAGTACTTCATCATTGCACTGTCTTACTACAATTATGGTTAATATAAATGCCATGTCCTTGCTGACAAACATCATATTACACGCTAGTGCAATATGATGTGTTTGCCATTAAAACTATGGCATTTACAAACGCAATAAATGCCAAGAAAAGACAGTTCAGTGTTTATATTTATGTTCTTGGCACATTTCGTTGTCTTATATGCCAATTTCAAATTGATTTAAACTAAATCAAATAATCCATTCCAGTAATCTGTCAGCAATTTTGCCGGTGAATAGTCCCTGTTTCTATGTTCACAATATCATTATAGTCACATGTTGGATAGCATTTATTGTGTCTTGAATCCCACATAATTTGATTATTTATATAATGGTATTGCAGTGCTAAGACAAATATACAGTTTTATTGTATATGTTTGACATGAATTATATTTCAAAGAAGTGATCAGTAATTCATCTGGTAAGGTTGCAGGAATCTCTCCAGGTACCTGGCAGTTTCATTGCATCATTTTAGAGGCAGCAAAACTAAAAATCCAACATGGTCAAGAGAATGTTTAGGAAGCAAGTTTGAAATATGAAAATGATGGCACAGATTGCAACTTCAGATATATTTGTATACTTGCTACTGCTCTCATATAGCTGTGATGCATTGTGTATGACACATACTTAGAGCTATGAAATTGATTTATGTCATTTCATTATACAAAAAATTATTTATTTTTAGAACTACCACAAAGAAAGGACCTACAAAAGGACCATCATCTGTGAAGAAAAGAGGTATGTCACATTGATAAAATGGAAAGCCTCAACACCAATACTACATCATTTACATCCTACCCATCAAATATCACACTTCCCAAGTCTTCTTCAGTTTATTATCAACCCATCAACAATTAGGCTGTCCTGAACTAAAAGTCCAGACTTCGACCTGTTCTTCAGTATTATATTAACCCATCAAGAATTAGGCTGCCCTGAACTAAAGTTCAGTCTTATATCTGCCCATCAAATATCACACTACCCCAATTAGAATTTTTAGTCTTAGACCTACCCTTTAAATATCACACTGCCTTATACTAGACCTTCAGTCTTAGACCTGTCCTTTAAATATCACACTGCCTTAGTCTATTCTTTCAGTCTTAGACATACCAACTAAATACCACTCTGCCTCAGTCTAATCTTTCAGTTTTAAACATACCCACTAAAAATCACACTGTCCAAGTCTAAAAATTAGTCTTAGATATTCCCATTAAAAATCAAAACTGACACTGAGAATTTTCCGTCTTGGACTGCTCATTAAATATCACTCTGCCTTGGTCTAAACCTTCAGTAGTAGACATGGCCATTAAATATCACTCTGCCTTGGTCTAAACCTTCAGTAGTAGACTTGGCCATTAAATATCACTCTGCCTTGGTCTAAACCTTCAGTAGTAGACTTGGCCATTAAATATCACTCTGCCTTGGTCTAAACCTTCAGTAGTAGACTTGGCCATTAAATATCACTCTGCCTTGGTCTAAACCTTCAGTAGTAGACTTGGCCATTAAATATCACACTGCCTTGGTCTAAACCTTCAGTAGTAGACTTGGCCATTAAATATCACTCTGCCTTGGTCTAAACCTTCAGTAGTAGACTTGGCCATTAAATATCACACTGCCTTGGTCTGAACCTTCAGTAGTAGACTTGGCCATTAAATATCACACTGCCTTGGTCTAAACCTTCAGTAGTAGACTTGGCCATTAAATATCACTCTGCCTTGGTCTAAACCTTCAGTAGTAGACTTGGCCATTAAATATCACACTGCCTTGGTCTAAACCTTCAGTAGTAGACTTGGCCATTAAATATCACTCTGCCTTGGTCTAAACCTTCAGTAGTAGACTTGGCCATTAAATATCACACTGCCTTGGTCTAAACCTTCAGTAGTAGACTTGGCCATTAAATATCACACTGCCTTGGTCTAAACCTTCAGTAGTAGACTTGGCCATTAAATATCACACTGCCTTGGTCTAAACCTTCAGTAGTAGACTTGGCCATTAAATATCACACTGCCTTGGTCTAAACCTTCAGTAGTAGACTTGGCCATTAAATATCACACTGCCTTGGTCTAAACCTTCAGTAGTAGACTTGGCCATTAAATATCACTCTGCCTTGGTCTAAACCTTCAGTAGTAGACTTGGCCATTAAATATCACACTGCCTTGGTCTAAACCTTCAGTAGTAGACTTGGCCATTAAATATCACTCTGCCTTGGTCTAAACCTTCAGTAGTAGACTTGGCCATTAAATATCACACTGCCTTGGTCTAAACCTTCAGTAGTAGACTTGGCCATTAAATATCACACTGCCTTGGTCTAAACCTTCAGTAGTAGACTTGGCCATTAAATATCACACTGCCTTGGTCTAAACCTTCAGTAGTAGACTTGGCCATTAAATATCACACTGCCTTGGTCTAAACCTTCAGTAGTAGACTTGGCCATTAAATATCACTCTGCCTTGGTCTAAACCTTCAGTAGTAGACTTGGCCATTAAAAATCACACTGCCTTATTCTAAACCTTCACTCTTAGACGTGCCCATTGAAAATCACACTGCCCTAGTCAAAAACTTCAGTCTTTTAACCTACCAGCCAGCTTCTAGCCTACCCTAAACTAAATCTTAGGGTAGGTTGAGGAGTCGGATATATCAATCTTTTTTTTTCTGTTCATGTGTCTGTGATAAAATAATGACTTCAGCAGACTTGGTTCATATTCACACCATAACACTATACCAACAGAGTCTACACCTGATTAGATGTTCATGGCCATTGGTCAAGGTTAAAGGTCAAAGGTCACCCTCGACCACTTTGCAAATAAATTCTAGTTTACAGGGTTAGGGGTGTCCTATATCTTCGTTTTTATTGACTATGAGGAATAATTGAGTAAAAGTTATCTTTTCTTTTTCAGAGAGAATTATACCTTCTAGGTACAAACAGGCAGCAGCATCTCATTCTTTGTTTGCTGAAAAGGTAAGAAAGTATGAAAGCTTACAAAACACCTGATGTGTCTGGTAAGACTGGATATGTCATGAAGAGATATGAGGATTTTATTATACCTGTCTGGACAAGTTCTCCTTACCTAATGCATCAGTTTCATTTTTATGACATGTAAATATTTGGTACAATGTGTAAATGTGCTTGCATCCCTTTTCAAACAAAAGATGTGTGGTTCCTCAATAACAGGTCATCATAAGTAGGATTTCTCATCGTAAGTTTTGTCAGGACAACTTCACCTGAACAGTGAAATTACATATAGTGATAATAGAGACAATGTAGGGATGAAAATGCACAATTTTTCCCAAAAGACGTGTGGTTGCCTGGTTGCCTGGTTGCCATAGCGACTGTACGGTTCGTCCATCTGTCCATAGAAAAAATTTTGTGCGGACAGCTTCTCCTATCCTACTGAATAAATTTCATTGAAACTACACAGGAGTGTTGAGGACCATGTGTTAGATGTGCATGCAACCTTTCTTTTTTTTTTTTTTTTTGCCATGGAAACCAGTCAGTATTTTTATTAAAATTACATTGTATAAAACTGTATATTGCAAATGACAAGGCTTACATTTCTACTTTTTCTAGGATGATCAGTTTGGTTTTCAGAATATGAAAAAAAAGACAATTTCTGACTGACTTTCTGATATAAGATCACACTGCTGATCTGATGAATGATATCATTGTTAAACATTTTATAGTCACAAGATTCCAATACACTACCTGCATTTTAAGAATACATTTTTGTATTTGTGAAAAAAATCTGAGATGCATGATATTACCTGTAGTGTAGCTTACCAGTATAGGTACTTGGATGACTGGGTATCAATACTTTGTTCAAAGATCACAGAGGTCAAAGGTTATGAATTTGGCTGTGTAAGAGAAGAAACAATTCTTATGTGTGTGAACATTGTGTGTATGTGTGTATGTACAGTTCTTACAAACGACAAGAATGAGGTAAACTCCTGCTACTTCACATCCTCTTGTTCTTGTTTCACATTACATATCCTGAAATACGTTATCCTGTCATGAGAACTAGTTACAGTTCTTGTCATTGGATTGTCAGGTTATAAGTAAAATATGTGTTTTTATAACACGACCATTAAAAAAAAAATGAATCCTATTGTTCCATAGTAACAATGTTTTATTTCTCAGTAATGATTGGGTACTTACTAAATGTTTCAGTCGACAAGACAGGATAAGTCTAGTAAAGGCAGTAGGAGTATGGATATTTCCACTCGTCCAACAAGTCGGCATACAAAGACCAAGAAGACAACTGGTCCTGCCACAAGGACGATAAAGGAACGACCCCATACCCCTGACAACTCCCACTTATCTACCGGAGCCAAAACCTCTACACCTACGATGGACAGCTCCATCTTCCCAACAGAGATTGATGCCTCAGCTATACAGGCCGATAGTTCTGTCTTATCTACAGGTAAAGTGCCAGAGAGTCACTTGTAGGTAAAGTTTTGTATGCCATAAATAAAATCTCCTATTTCAGAGGCAATGTGTCATATTTCATAGGTCATGAGTCACACTTGACACAAGAATATGTCACATGATAAGGATCACAGGTTAAGTTTCAGATGTCACTGTTAATGTGTCATGTTTCATAAATCAAGAGTTTCATGTAAATAAATCAAGAGTTTCATGTAAATAAATCAAGAGTTTCATGTAAATTGTTACATGTTACAAGAAAATTTCAAATGTTAAGGTCACAGGCAAAGTGTCACATTCCACATGTCTCATTTAAAGTGTCAAGGCAAATGTGCTACATGTCACAAGAAAAAGTAACATTTTAAGTGTCATATGTCATCAGTAAAGTATTGCATGTAAAAAGTAAACTTATTACTAATGTTTGGAATTGGGCACTTTAATGATCAAGTCTTGATTCTTACCGAGTTATCAGTAAACTTAATTGTAAGTTGAAGTTATTAGCCTGTGACATCACTTTGATAGTATCAAGTTTATCGCTGATATACAACAGGAATGTTCATTTCCTTTACCTCGTCTGAGTGTAGATACTTCGCTTGTTCTGGTATGTCTAACATACTCATTAAGTACTGGGCCAATTGTGTGAGAAAACATCACATTTTTCTAGACACACATCCAGACATGAGTGTATATCTAATGTCTCTGAAATACCTCAGAAGCCCTGCCTATTTTGTAAGCGATCCTAGCCCTCCCAAGAACTCTGGTCTTGTGAAAATGAAGTGCTCTTCATGAATGTCAAAATCATGAATTGGCTTTATGAAAATACTGAATTCATTACCCCAGCATCACTCATGTAATTTTATTTTAGATTTTCTTATAATTTGGATATTTTTAGGACATAGGTCACAGTTGATAAAAACACCATCGAAAGATGGAGGTAGAAGAGACGTACGTGCCGATTTGCGGGACATCCATGACCCTTTTTCACAGTCCATCCTTTCCAACGCCTCTGTGATGTCTGATATGATGGACGTTTCTAACAGAAAGCAGCCTACCAAAGTCAGTTTAAGGAAAATTTCAAATTTTCTTATTGTTCAAAATGTTGCATTCAAATGTCTAAATTCAATGTTGAATGTTTGTATCTCTGTCACAAGTTATCACGTTTAAAAGTGACTGATGTCATAACTCATTCAAGTTTAAAGTGACTGATTTCATAACTCATTCATGTTTAAGAGCAACTTTGTTGATAAAGAAATATTTCTAAATCATTGTTGTAATTTTTTTACTTCTAATGTAAAAAAAACAAATCAGCATTCTACTGATAAACTTTTGGTTGCTTTGCGCATACATACACTTTTGATTAATTATTGTGTTTGTGTGTCCAGGCTTGAAAGCATAAATAGGCATTGTATTCATATGCACTCTGATTTAACAGTTTAAATAAGTACTGTGTTTGTGTATGCCTAAACACAGCAGTATCAATGTTTGTGTGCCTAGACACCGCAGTATAATTATGTACTGTTTGTGCCAAGACTCGGCCATATGATTATGTACTGTGTGTGTGCCTAGATGAGGCAGTATAATTATGTACCTATTGTGTTTGTGTGTACTTTCCAGTCAAAGTTGACCGAGGGTCAGATGGACTTGCTATACATGCGGTACACACAGTGGCTGTACTTGTACACCAAGGCCAAGAAGTCACGCGAAGAACAGGAGAAACGGGAAATGGTAGGCCTTATATAAAATCTAATATTTTAAAATATGGACCAATCGAATGGTAGCTGGTGTAAGAGATAGCAATATCAGAACATTAGGTCTAAAGCAGATTATGATATGATTGTAATAACTAGGACTAAGTTGGTCATGAATTCATGAAAATGACAAGAAAATACGGGCTTGTCAACAGAATCTCAATCGCCACTTGAAATTGATGAAGCAAGGGCAAAATACAGACTAAGGAAATATTGGTACTTTAGTTTGAACAAACTGAGAATTTTTTCGCACAGTATAAAGTGTGATTTCTTCTGTTTGTCTATTTAGTAGATTAAAATATTAGGATGTCAATAGTGTAGTTAGTTAGTATAAAGAAAAAAGATTACTTTTTTTGGTAAGTTTAGTTAAATAATAAGGCCACACAGGCACAAGTTAATACTTTGAACTAACGACAGAATAGCTATCATCCTCTGGCCACTATCCTTATTGAATAGGCCCAGTTAAACAGTCTACATGAGGAAGTTGAAAAACTCCGCAAGAAAAAACATGATTTGGATATCCGACTTGCACGCCAGAAACACCTGAATTTGGTGGACGATCAAGTGGATCAACAGGTCAGTATTGGTCAATACAATTACACAGGTAGTTCAATTTTTCATACAGAACTAGAAATTGTGTGTTTGGTTCTTTCAACTGCATTTTTTCCCTGAATTTTGTGCTTTTTAGGACGTTTTTTGGTTATTTTAGACAAAGTTGGGACTTCCATAAAAGAAAAAATGTGTTGCTGAAAGCCTTGAAAAAAGGACAAAAATGTTATTTCATTTAATTCAGATAATATGAAAATGAAGAATTAAGGTCTCCAGATTTTTTTCAATCTACATACATTTCATGTACTGACCTATATCACAGTAAACAACACTATAAAGGGGGAGATGAGTCTTGAGTCAATATTTCTCTGGTTTTAGCGCCAGTTACTAGGACCAATTGTTGCCAATTTACCCAAGTTGTCTAGGGAGTATGAGAGTTTAGCCCATGCTCTGGACACCACCCGTCACCAGATTGCTACCCAAGGTGTTTATCTGCCTGATGATGAAGAACAACTCCAAAGTAAGTTCAGGTTTATTAGGCAACTGTTCACACTGATGTTATTTGTGAAATTAAATTTTCATTTGTAATGTATGTAATGCATGAATATTAAAATACTAAAACAAATATGTTTTTTAAAACTGATACTGAAATCATATGGACATATTAAAATAGGGATGTAAAAATTAAATTATGTATTTGTGCAAAATTTTATATTTTCAAAAAATGATATCACAATGATTCTCCTGCATTCTAAATATGTTGATTTGGTTATTTTAATCATCATATAACTATCAAGTTATAAGGTCATTATTTAAGGTAAATGTGGAAAAATGGAAATATAGCAAAGTATAATTATGGATGTGTATGTGATTATCATAAACTTTGTTTTAGGAAAATTAGAAAAGGAACTGTCAACAAGTGAACAATTGCTGGGAGAGTTATCAGTGATGATCAGACAACCAGTGACTACAGTAACAGCAATGTCTAAGGCTCTGGGCGCCATGGAGAAAGCTGTGGACGCTCAAACTCACGAACTCCGACAGTAAGTACAGTGATTACTGACCTCATGAACTCCGACAGTAATTATCATGTTTACTGACCTCACAAACTCCGACAGTAAGTACAATGTTTACTGACCTCACAAACTCTGACAGTAAGTACAATGTTTACTGACCTCACAAACTCCGACAGTAAGTACAATGTTTACTGACCTCACAAACTCCGACAGTAAGTACAATGTTTACTGACCTCATGAACTCCGACAGTAATTACCATGTTTACTGACCTCACAAACTCCGACAGTAAGTACAATGTTTACTGACCTCACAAGCTCCGACAGTAAGTACAATGTTTACTGGCCTCACAAGCTCCAACAGTAAGTACAATGTTTACTGACCTCACAAACTCTGACAGTAGGTACAATGTTTACTGACCTCACAAACTCCGACAGTAAGTACAATGTTTACTGACCTCACAAACTCTGAGAGTAGGTACAATGTTTACTGACCCCACAAACTCTGACAGTAAGTACAATGTTTACTGACCTCATGAACTCTGACAGTAGGTAAAATGTTTACTGACATCTCTGTAGAAGGCCTTGTCCAAAATGTTCTTATGTCTGGTGATTTTCATATACTTTATTCAAGTTTGTCATATGAACTTTCAACTTACATATGTAAATATTTTAATTACCTCCAAGGAAAGAATTAGGTGATGATCAGACTACTAGATAAATATTCTACAGCCTTTATCCAAATGCTTCTCTTTCTCCTCAGATGTACAGAAATGATTTCAGCAACGCAAAGCCTGACAATACAAGAGACCTCACTACGGATACAAGAAATGCAGGCCTAATGATACAGCAGTTTTCTTTTGATATTCCGGTCAAAAAGACGACTCTATTGCAATTTTATAAACTGTTGCAACATAATGCAACAAAAAGTATGCAATCCATTTGTTGCCTTTAAATATTTCTTTGTTTAAGTCATAATTGAATTTTGAGAAATTTGGATGAAATATGACATATTAAAGAAATAAGTTAAAATTGTTTATGTTAGAGGATTCTGGAAAATGATATGATATCTTTATTTCAAGTTATACCAATTTTCTTTTTATGAGCAGCAGTGTTGTCACGTGATCAGCTTTATAATTTTAACATAATTTGGTCAAACATGGAAACTTAAAAATTAAAGTATGAAATTACCTTAGATAAGTTGGTATTTCAGGGTTTCAAGGTCAAGGTCAAATTTAAAGAAACTTGTCAATCATACTAAATTTCATGGGTGAATAGCATTCATGTTTTTTCAACCTTGCTAGGATTTAGCCGACAGTTTAAAACCGTCAAATCAGTAATAATTCCTCTTTAACGAAACTTTTGCATAATGTACTGAAAGAAATAACAGACTTTTCTGATATTTTGAAATTCTAACCAGGCAATGCTTTACAATGATTGGAAAGGGAATCCTGGTGTAACTTAGTGTGATAGGTTGTATCCTTGAGCTGTCAGTGACTGGTACAGCAGAACAATTGGGGTGTTTTACTTAGATAGAAGAATATCCATTTAAATGGAATGTGCTTTAAGTGTTGGAGTAATCGATTCAAATTAATAACTTATGTAGCTTAGTCCTGAAAACAGAAATGGTTTATTGTTATATATCATTACATATTATTGACAGTTAAGTCTATTTCTACCCTGTTTCTGTAATGAATTTATTTTTTCTTCATTAAATATTGATGAATAAATTTGTTAGCCTATTTTCAATTGAGTTGATTATTTTTATCATATTGTTTTTTGGGTTTTACCTCCTCTGATACAGGATGTCTCAATACAGCTGATACAAGAAAACGCTGACTGATAAACAAAATCAAAATTCAAACTGAAAATCTATGAAATTAAGGCAAAATATGAACAAATGTAATATTCAGCAAGGAGATATTTGAAAGTGTACAAAGATAATTTGACCTTGGTCAATTTAAGAGAAATGTCCATACATGGCTGTTGGAGGTTGACACAGGACATTTAAATGCAACAAGAGAGTCGTTAGATTCTATGATATAAGTAATACCAAAGTTAATGTTTGCCGAGATGTAACAAGTAAAAACATTAGTCCCTCTGGTGACCATGGTTTTAATTAATTAATATTACCTACCAATACTAGACTGGGAGACTTGTTACATGTTAGAAGGTGTCTTATGTATATCCGAGTTTATTCAAGCTCAAGACAGACTATCTTAGTTGAAGCAAAACCATTTCATACCAGGTAAGAAAATGACACGTAACATGATTTTTTTTAATTTTATGAGATGAATAAGTTTAAATTCTATTGAATTCATACCACACAAATGTTCAGTGGTGATACTTTATAAAATTGTACATAACTCCTTGTTAAGAGCAGACTACCGGGAGCAAATCCTACTTAAAACGTTAGGAGATCCATTTTGTTTTTGTTATTATCATCATTCCATTTATTTGGTAGACAGAATAAGGTTGTAATTCGTCTTGTACCTACCTTCCAGCTGTTTCAAATTCTTTCCGAGCCTCTATCTTCACCTGAGAATCATTCCACGTGGGATGGTATTGTCTGACTAGACCCTCTGATTTCGTGATATACATCACCTGTGATTTGTCGTACATATTCCTATCAAAGATGGGTCTCCAACTTTCCCAGTCTATCACAGCCAGACCTGAGAAATCGGCTACAGGGATAGTTCTGTTGACATCATACTGCACTCTCCATAAATGTTTCTGTAGTTTGGATTTCTGTTCAACAATGTATGTAACAAAAATAAAATCGACATTTCTCGTAACATCGATAACCACATATAGATTGGCAGCGTGTTATATCTCTTGGAAAGTAGTGAAAACTTCAAAACTCCTAATTTCGTTATCATTTTTTTCATCTTTGTATTGTCCGATGATAAAATGTTGTGGCCAGCCATACTATCACAGTACTGCTGTAAATGTTGTGGATTTGAGACCCGAGATGGTCATTATTGTCAAACTATACGTGTAAAGTTGGAATTAATTCTGAGGGATTCAGTTATTGTTATACCACGCGTATGTTTTATAGTTCGGGTTATGATCGTTATATATATATATATATATATATAGGCACATTAAGAGTGTACCGAAAGTTTTTAATCGGAGATGCAATGTTTGATAGAAGAGATAGAAATTGTTTACAAGTCAATAAATGATCACTCAAAGACATCATTAAAATCGCATTGTGTACATATCATATAAAAGTGTTTGTTGAAGTTAATTAGATGATTGTCTGACTAAAGAGGAAGTTTACCTTTTCTTTGTTTGATATGAAGCTGAAAGTGTTTCTCATGATTGTCCGTATGCATGTGGTTCTGCTGTTTACCTTGTTTTCTTTTCGGAACGTGACATCACTTACTTGGATTGGTCAAGATTTACGGTATCGGCAGTGTCCGAGTGCTGATTGATAAGTTGTGAGCCTTTTATGGAAGAAGTTAAGCAGGGATGTCCTTTTTCAGCTTTACTGTTCCCTGACTATTTTTACTCTGAAAGGTCATAATAGTGGACGTAAAACCTGTTAAATACAAAATCAAATGACTATTTAAGGTTGTGTACCCGAAGACTGGTGTCCTTTGGTTAGTTTATGTCGAAGAGGTAGAACTCTAAAGTAAACAAGACATACGACGTTTTACCAAATTGGCCAAATCGCTGAGAGAGCAGTGATTCATTATTTGTACAAGAAAGGTCTAGCACCTAAGGATATCCATACTGATATGGTAGCAACACTAGGGCGTGATGCCTCTTCATATACTACAGTGAAATGGTGGATGGCGGCGGAATTTTAAGCGCAACAGGCAGTGCCTTGGCGATGACGCCCGTTCTGGAAGGCCAGCCACTGTTGCAACCCCAAAAATAGTCAGTAAAGTAGATGATATTGTAATGGATGACACGCGAGAGAGAGATATAGCCAGTACAGTTGGGATTTCACAGGAAAGAGTACAGTCAATTCTTACGGTAGATCTTACAAACAGAAAGCTCTAAGTCCGTTGGTTACCAAGACTTCTGACAGTTGATCAGACGCACACCAGGCGGACTTTGTCGCGTGCTAATCTGAACCTTTTCGAGGCAGATCCTGTTAAATTTCTGCAGAGGTTTGTGACTATGGAAGGAACGTGGATCCATCATTTCACCCCAAAGACCAAACAACAGTCTTAACAATGGAACAACCCTGGTTTACCCCCGCCGAAGTAGGCAAAGACTGTTCCATCGGCTCCATGATCTCGGTTTTATTGGATGCTGGTGGTATTCTGATAGTAGATTATCTACAAAAGGGACAAACACTTAATGGCACGTATTATGCAGAACTTCTTCGGCAGTTAAGAGAAAATATCAAACTCAAGCATCGCGGGAAACTTGCGTAACGGTGTGTTGTTTCGCCAGGACTAAACCCCTTTTCACATGTCTAATATTGCTATGGTTGCCATTAGTGATTGTGGCTTTGAATTGGAGTATCCGCCTTATTCACTTGATCTGTTTTCATCAGACTTTCATCTATTTCCAAGATT